TACCAAGACCAAACTTATGGTAATAGGACGCCAACCTATAATCAACACCGCATTGACGGTGGATAGAAATATTATAGAGCGAGTACCACGATTTAAATATCTAGGTGCTATGATCAATGAACGATGGGATTGCGATGAGGAAGTTAAACCTAGAACGAATTATGCAAAATCAATATTTTTTAAACTTAAAAACTTCCTATTAGCACGCAGTCTCCCGCTAGTACTTAGACTACGGGTAGTAAAATCTATATATATAAATCTCTAAGTCCTGACTGATCACTGACTCATCAACGCCCAGACTAAACCCTTGACCCTAAAAAGCTGAAATTTTGCACAGGGGTTCCTTTTATTTTTAAAATTCATCCCCTAAGGGGGTAAAAAGAGGGGTGGAATATTACAATATTTTTTATTTAAAAAACGGTTAAGTTTCCGAAAAAACGCTTAAACACGTATATTTTATTTTCTTTTTTTACATATTTTAAGATTTTTTAAAAATGTATACAGGGTTGTTTCTGTGAAAAATCTGATCATTGATTAATCACGATCCTGCTTAAAGCGCTTGACATAAAAAGCTGATTTTTGGAAAACGGATTGACTTTAGGGTGTAGAGGTTCGATAAGAAAGGATTTTTCGAAACTCGAATTCTAAGAGGGTGAAACAACCCCTTAAATATTAGAATATTTTTTATTTAAAAACCGGTGAGTTTTTCGGAAAAACTCTTAAACACGTATATTTTATTTTGTTGTTTTACATATTTTAAGATTTTTTAAAAATTTATACAGGGTGTTTCATAAAATATGGCCATTGAGTAATCACGATTCTGCTTAAACTGCTTGACGTTTAAAGCTGATTTTTGGCAAACGGATTGACTGTGTGGTATAGAGGTTCGATAAGGAGGGGTTTCTCGAATCTCAAATTCCAAGAGGGTGAAAACGCCCCTCAAATAATCTATACTAATATATAAAATTCTTAAGTGACTCACTGTTTAATCACGATCCTGCTCAAACCACTCAACGTAAGAAGCTCAATTTTGGCATACAGGTTGATTCTAGGGTGTAGTGGTTCGATAAGAAGGGATTTTTCGAAATCCCAGTTTCAAGAGGGTGACACCACCTCTCAAGTATTACCATATTTTTTATTTAAAAAACGATCAAGTTTCCGAAAAAACGCTTGAACACGTATATTTTATTTTGTTTTTTACATATTTTAAGACTTTTTAAAAATGTATACAGTGTTTCGAAAAATCTGGCCATTGATTAATCACGATCCTGCTTAAAGCGCTTGACGTAAAAAGCTAATTTTTGGAAAACGGATTGACTTTAGTGTGTAGAGGTTCGATAAGAAGGTATTTTTCGAAACTCGAATTCTAAGGGGGTGAAACCACCCCTCAAATATTAGAATATTTTTTATTTAAAATCCGGTGAGTTTTTCGGAAAAATTCTTAAACACGTATATTTTATTTTGTTGTTTTACATATTTTAAGATTTTTTAAAAATTTATACAGGGTGTTTCATAAAATATGACCATTGAGTAATCACGATTCTGCTTAAGCTGCTTGACGTTTAATGCTGATTTTGACAAACGGATTGACTGTGGAGTGTAGAGGTTCAATAAGGAAGGGTTTCTCGAATCTCAAATTCCAAGAGGGTGTAAACGCCCCTCAAATATTACAATATTTGTTATTTAAAAAACGGTTAGTCTTTTGGGAAAACGCTTGGACACGTATAATTTATTTTGTTTTATACATAATTTGAAATTTTTTAAAAAATCATACAGGGTGTTCCAAAAAGTTGGACAATTGATTAACCACGATTCTCCAGTTTGTATGTCAATGGAAATTCTTGCTTTGCTTTATCATATCACCATTACAAATGATTAATTCGACGCGAACGAATTCGCGGGTACATGCTAGTGCTACATATGACCCATCTTACTATACGGCGCAGAAACGTGAGCTTAGTTCGGGTTTGTGTTATTACCGATTCTGAACCGTCCTAGAACTATGATACGCATGCCCAGAGGGAAATCTGTAGGGTAATTTTTTCATCTACGCATGTGCTGTAGAGTTCTAGGACGGTTTAGAATCGGTAATAACAAAAACCCGAACTAAGCTGTAGTTTCTCAAGGCTAGAACACTGAACCGCATCGAGGCTTTCGAGATGTGGACTCTCCGGAGATTCTTACGTGTACCATGGACCGCACATGCCACCAACGAAGAAGTTTTAAGAACTGCAGGTTATGAACGAGAAATGCTTAATATAGTTAAAGAAAGAAAAGTTTCATACCTCGGCCATATCCTTAGAGGAGACAAATATTACATTCCTAAGCTGATTCTACAAGGAAAAATAGAGGGACGGCGAGGCCCAGGAAGAAATAAACAACATTCCTGGCTAAGAAACATACGGGGTTGGTGTAACATCAGCGACGCAGCCACCATATTTCGAAGAGCCGAAAACGGCACTGTACCACTTTCTCATGACTGATTACTTAATAATTTGATATTTTCATTTAAAACACAATTTTCTATCGGTTTCATTTCTGGAAACCAGTCCTTGCTAGCTGTTTGACGAACTGCACAATCATTGAACAAAAATTTGCTAGTACCGAAAGTACCAACAAAACCGGTAAATCCCGGTTTATTAGTGGCGTTGTATGGAAATCCCCGGTTCCTAAAATTTTGTTACGTGAGAAAGTCCTTTTATATACTTACTAGCGGTCGAAATCAAACTCTTCTTAATAATATATTTAATGATGCTATTTCTTACTGATCTTCCTTCTTTTCTCTTTTGAAGTTCCTATAATGTTTATTATAAATTATTGAAGTTTAAATATGTTATTTTATTACTTAGTATAATGTTGATCAATATATTAGTTACATATATTTTATGTTATATTATAATAGATGTTTGCATTTTTAATTTAAAAATATAGGGGTTCTTTCACAAATTTGGTTAAATTGATTTATGTTGTTTGATGTGAATTTTAAGGTTACCCATATTTTTTTTGTTTCTTTGTGTTAATTTTCTCATGATTTTAGAATAAATAGAAAATAATTTCAAAAAAATAAATTGAAAGCTTAAATTATTTTAATTTTATTCATGCTGACTGTAACAAATATTCATTTTTAAATGTTATTTTTTTATCATATATTATACCCTTCTAAGGATTACACTTTACGCAATAGTATATAATATATTTTTTAAATATAATTATAATTAAAAAGGTCAACGATTTTGCTAATTATTCAAAACAAGTTTTATGAATATATCATGTTTATATCTACGATTAAAAAATCATTTAAAAAATATTATTGGCGTCAAATATCAATCTTCTGGGGATTTAGGAATTAATAAAAAACAAGTTTAGGTATTTTGTCCTTAGTTTGAAGAACATGTGATTAATTTTTGAATATCGAAGCTACACGTGTGTGACATATACCTAACCAGTTTTTGGAGAGAGTGCCTTGTCATTCATTGTACGTTTGTTGTATAGTAGGCCGAACCGTGTAAAATGAGATAAATGAAAGAGGATCTGCTTAACCATTCTTTGTTGCCTAAAAAACGGTACATGTCACAGGCGGATATTCGGGTAAAGTAGGTAATGGGAACGATACAAAATACAATCGATGTGATACATTCAGAACCATTCCACAGCTTAGTAAAAATATTCTCCCACCTATCGAATACGGTAAGCTATACAGGGTGGCCAAAAATCATACATCTAATGTTCATACACCTACAAGATCTCGAAAAGTACGAGAAATTTGAAATTGGTTTAAAAGAGGAAAACTGGCGTTATTAGATGGTAGATAGATAATAGTCTATTAACCAAATATGTGTTTAATAAATAAGGAGATTTTTAAATGCATATTTTTGAATACTTTCAGTCGATCACATAACACATAATTCGTGCACATACCGGAACAGCTAGCACCGAATTATGGACGTATCCGGATTACTGGAATATTTTTATAATGTTATTATTGTTTTGTTCTTTTATTGTTTCCAACCCAACCTCGAAATTTAAACACAATTTAATTTAACCAAAATGCCAAACACTTAAACACATTAAAACTTTATTGTACTTATTGTATTTACATAAACTTATAAAGAACTCACTTACTGCTTACTACAATATCCATATTAGTAAGCAGGCACCATAATACCGCATGATCGAAAAAAAAACGGCGTCCAGCTGGCTTGGAAATGACGATCGATGACATTCCCCATATAATTTTACATATAAAATGACAGCGATCTTCATTTCATAGCCATCGCTGACGCCTTTTTTTTCGATCATACGTTACTTATATGTATTATGCTATTAACATTTTTTTAAAATATTATACAGTATGTCCCCGGATTATCTGTACGATAGGAACAACTTTTTTTATTATTGACATTTTGAGAAAAATCCATTTTTTATAAAAATTTTTGCTTGTTTTTTTAAAATGGTTGTTCGCGTTTATACATTTCCAAATTTCCATAGCGTTTGGGAGAAAATTAAAAAAAAATAATGAAAATATTAGTAGTCAACGTTTTTGAGAAAGTATTTTAAGAAAAATGGCTCTTTATCTATTACTATGGCAATATATCTTTCACTATGCTCTCTGGAACAGCATGCGGCCCGTCTGGCTGCCGATACCCGTTGCATTCACTACTGCGCATCGGAAGAAGATTGCGAAATTAAAAAATATAAAAAAAAAATATATATATATATATATATATATATATATATATATATATATATATATATATATATATATATATATATATATATATATATATATATATATATATATATATATATATATATATATATATATATATATATATATATATATATATATATATATATATATATATATATATATATATATATATATATATATATATATATTATTTTGCGAAAATTATATATATAGGATACTGGGGGAAATTAAAAAAAAATAAATAATAATAAATATTTAGTAAATATCATTATTTTTTATATTGTTTCAGGTTACGCAACTTTTGAAAACCAGAATAACTATAAAAACTTGGAGGAATATCCATTCATCAAAAATGTTACAGATATACATGAGATTCATTCCTTCGAGGAAGACTTAAATCTTACACCAATTCAAAAATTTTATGATGGAGCAAATGTATTCATTACAGGATCTACAGGATTTTTAGGTAAGTTATAAAATAATATTGGACATGCAATAATTCTAAAAAAATTGGCACCGGGAGGCACGTATATCCGCCCATACTAAAATATGTTAATAAAAAGTTGGTAGGCAGTTCTTTTAGTTTCAAAGTAAAGGCTTTTTTTTCATCTCAAAAACTGCGACTTTGACTGATTTTGATGTTATTACAAATTTTGTTGCAAATATTATCCCTAATCTTAAATTGAAAACTGCGTTTCGCTACCTACTGTAATTTTGGAGTTACGATTTTTTAAAAATTTTAACCCCCTGCCATACCCCCTTACCAACCCCCCACCCCCACCAAAACTAATGGCCAGATTCTCGGGTGCCACAGTATTTTTGTGCCAAATTTTGTTAAAATCGGTTTAGCGGTTTTTGAGTTATCGTGTTACAGACAGACAGACAGACACCATGAAAATATTTTGTATTTAGGTCGTTTATGACCCAAATAACTCATTTTGAGTGAAATTAAAAAAACTTTTTTTTTGGCGATCTTAATAGCCTACCATAGCTGTTGATATGGTTGTTAGATTAGTTAAACTCTACTGCGATATTGTCTGAAGACTTATTGATTTATCAAGAAGTTATATTTCCAGCTTATTATACATTAAGAGATATAAGGATATATTAAGTTATTGATTTTTTAAAAGTAGATGTAGTTGAGTAGATATGGTCGGCTTTATGACGTATAAAAGTCGTATCTCGATTTTTGCAACTTTTGAGAAGAGCAATTGAAAAATTCTAAATATTTATTAATTCTAATTTTTAACATAGGGCAATTTTTTAAATGCATATAAAATTAATAAGATATAATATTAAGATACAGCCAATTTTCCGTGCTGAAAAATGACCCTTTGGGACATATCCAATGAGTCAGTCATGAAGTTGATATCTCGAAATTGCCAAAAATCGAGATACGCATTTTCGTTATAAAACTGACGATATGCAAAGTAGAAATGCAATTTCTGTGTTAAATTACCTTACATCATTAAAGCAGTAGTTTGGGAACAATGTACAATATATTATAACGTGTGTACATTGACCTATTGACAAAATCCATATTTCCTTTTAATACTACCTTAGTACCTTACTATTGTATACTACCTTACTAACTTAGTACTTGCCGTGATTTTAAAGCTAAAACCTATATGCAATTAGATTTAAGCACAAACGTAAATTATCAAACATATAATTTATCAAATTCTGTATTTTTAAGTATGATGGACGAAAAATGCAATTTAAATATATTTGCTTAAAATAATAATTACCTTACCATAATTCTATTTTTCCATATTATGCGTGTGTAGAATCAATAATGTCATAGCAGAACAGTATGATCTAAACAATTAATTACGGTATTCTAAATATATCTTACGTGTATTTTTGAGCAATAATGTGTTAATGATAATTATTTTTTTTAAGGAAAAATTCTCGTTGAAAAACTTCTTAGATCCTGCCCTACATTGTCTACTATGTATCTTCTAGTCCGTAGTAAAAAAGGAAAATCGATGGAAGAAAGAATTGACGAAATGTTTGACGACGTCATTTTCCAAAAAATGAAAGAGGAGTGTCCAAAATATAGGCACAAAGTTGTAGGAGTCGGTGGAGATTGTACTTTATCTGGGATTGGGTTAAGTATACAAGACAGAAGACTTCTTGTAGATGAGGTAATTATATTTTTATTTATAAACCTATGCTATGCTATAAAAATAATACATGAATATTTGAAATGTAAGGGTAGTCATTGAAGTCTTTATTACAAGCTACCTACACACAGGTTGAAAAAAATAGTGATACATTTCGTAGGAAGGCATTAGTGTGGAAAACACAAAAAGTAGCAATTTTGTTCTATCGATACCAATAAAATCATAGAAAAATAGTATTTTAAGTTCATGCCTCTTTTTTTGTTGCCATAGAAAATTAAAAATGAAACTGCAAATATTCGGTTTTCTTTCAAAAAGCTGCGGAAGGAATTTTTATACTTTACGCTGGAATTCTAATGAGCATCATATTGCGCCCACTGTAGTGTTGAGAAATAAAATTGGGATTGGAAAAGAGAAACGTTTGCTCGGCATGTAAAAGACCATACCATAATGTGGTATACTGATGCTTTCAAAACCATAGCAGGGACAGGGATAGGAGTATTTGGGCCGAAAACTAAATAGGGTAGAAGCACCGGTTGTGGCCAGGTTAAGGGATTTTTAGAGTTTGACTTATCAGAAAAAAATATTTGTAGTTAATTTTGAAGATAAAGCAAAATTTTTGGTGCTTTTCCAACATTTTTCTTTCAAAATCTGCTTTTATTTTAAAGATTTGTATTCTTAATAAACAGAAAATGAGCATTTTATGAAAACATACGATTTTTCCCATTTGTGGCCACATTTACTACCATTTGTGGCCACATTCTTGCAAAAATATTCTCTAGGTAATGTTAAGGGAGGACCAAATTGACCACTTGCGGTGGCAACCATCAGGGTTGTTACATTATCTTTCTCAGAGGTAGTAGTAACGTCATAGACACCTTTCCCTCTTGCCCCTAGGACTAAATTGCCTTTAGGTGATAAAAAAATCGTTGTTTCGTCCAGGTTAAAAATTCTATTTGGGTGGTTCAGAATTTCGATGTCAGGACCTAATTGCTGCCGCACATCTTCAAACCATTGCCTGATTTTTGTCTCCGTAACAGCCGCTCTTGCTTGGTTTATGTATTCCGAATGTTTCCTAAATACTTCCGGGTTTTTAACTAGGAAAGACTTAAACCACTTGTCTCCAGGAACATTATTCTTGAAGGGAGTCGGTATTTTAAATTCTTCTATTAGCTTTTGTACCGAATATAGAAGACCTTCTCGATTAATCGGAAACCCTTTTGCCGCCTGATGAAGAATCCACTTCACCAATTTTTTTTCAACTTCTAACCCAAGTACTGCATTTGGGCCAACTCTTCTACAGCTATCTGAAGTTTTACCTGACAATCTATTTCGCACCGAAGTCCGGGGTACTTTAAACTGTTTGCACGCCGTTGACACAGCCATATTTTGTTCACGGATGGCTTTTAATGCTGCTTCCATATCTTCTTGGGATTAGTTGAAAAGAACCCTTTTTTTCTACCATCTGAAATTTTTTAAATTACCATAGGTTAATTCCGGGGGACATGGCCATACGGGAGAGATGGTTAGTCAAATTATTTTTATATCATACCTAAATAACTATAATTCTCATATTTCAAATAAATCTTATTTTTTAAAACTACAAATAAGTTGGCCATCTATGGCCATTTCCCCCGAAATTACCCTAACTCAAAAAGACAACATCGAAAAGGTGCGGTTTTTACACGGTTTTTAGTATGTGGCCACAAATACATATTAACTTTGCCGGTTCTGGCCATGTCATGGCCACAATCCTATTCCAGTTGTGGCCATTTATTTTTTTTTAAATTAGAAGAAGAAGAAACCTAACCTAATACAGAATTTAAAAGGTTTAAACACCTTCATTTAACCTATTCAAAAGTTGAAGCAATAAAGTTTAAAAAATGCAAAATATAGCCTGTTTACTTACACTGTGATCCTTAACAAATTCGCTTAGAATTGAGCAATTTACAGACACTGCATTTTGAAAGCCGTTACACGCAGACACATGATGCACCTATAGTTTCAATTTTCAACCTAGAGGCCGCTAATAATTGTATGTTATCATATACACATCTACGTGGTTGCACATTTGCCAAATTGACCAAAAAAACCTAATATTTGGCATTTTATGCAGAAGTGGCTACAATCGGCTAAGTGGCCACAACCGGGTGTTCTACCCTACTCCGAATTAATGGGCACCTACCCCAGTAACCTTTGGCAGAAATCTACGCTATCGAAAGATGCGTACAATTTACCTTAGATAGGAACTTTCGAAAACTGGAAATAGTCATCTTATCCGATAGTCAAGTAGCACTAAAAGCGATCAACTAAGTAATCATCAATTCGAAGTTGGTCAAAGAATGCCTGGAGAAGCTCAACAAGTTAGACAAAGAAAATAAAATCTCTGGGTGCCCGCTCACCAAGGGATAGAAAGAAATAAAAAAGCAAACGATCTAGCTAGAACAGGAGCAAACACTTCACTAACTGGACCAGAACCATTCTGCTTTCCAAACGGAAACCAACCTAAAGCGGAAGAAGCTGGAAGATCATCCGTAACCTGGAATGAGAATCCTCCAACGGTCTAAGACACTCGAAAATGTTTTAGAGAACTTACGATCGAGAAAAATCAAATATTTTCATTGATTTAAGTAAGAACAATCCTCAGATTGTTACGGGGTTTCTAACAGGACACCTATCCTCAACGAACACCTCAGTAGATGGAAGCTTAGAAACAACGGCGAATACAGATTCTGTGGAAAATGGGTAAACATCACAACACCTTATTACTGAGTGCGCCGAGACGACGACCGTTCATTCCATATACTTTGATACGGCTGATGTCGCATTTGGAGTGGTGGCGTCTGTGGAGCTGTTTCTGATACACGCTTTTGTTAAAGCGCTGAGACTGTATGATCAGGGCCGATCCTAGTAGGTGTGCAGCGCGTGCACCGCACGCGGGCGGCCAAAAAAAGGGGCGGCCGCAGACCGCATCTACCTTTATACTTTTATTAATCAAGCAAAATTTTTCAATTATTTTATTTCTCAAGCTTACCTATTTTTAAAGGGTTTACAAATTTAGTGAATATGCACTTAGGATATTATTATGTTATTTAAATAAACTAAAAATAGGTTAAGTAGTTGTTATTCATTTTTTTGATACAGAAAACATTTTTATTTTACAAAATATATGTTAAAAAATCCCTGAAATGTAACGCTACTGGAAAAAAATCTGACCTGAGGGAATTTCGAAATGTCCTTGAAGAGGAAGAAAACTCTGCTCGCCCCGCTATATTTCCCCTACATGCTTGCGTAGAATTTGATTGTAAATCGTAGTAAACTGATTCGCTCTGGCGATGGCGTGCCGATTGTAACCGAATATAACCGAACGTAATGAATCTCTCCGTGATCTGTCCCGATACTCAAATCGAAGATCTCCATGGCAGAATATCAAAACTATATAGTGTATTATGGTAAGTATAAAACTTTATTTTATTAATTTGATGTAATTTACACTAACTCTCCTGTCCCCTGTTCCTGTTTTACATTTTAGAGAAAAATGTTTTGTATAAAAGCTGATGAAAAGTGATTTAATTTACTTTCTTACAAAATTCTGTAACCGACTGGTTTTTTTTTGAGGAGAGTAATTATAAATTGGTATTCGATTTTACCTAGACGTTAAAGAGCGCTACGAATACAAATCATTATTTATACCTAATTATAATTTTCTCTAATTTTTTTAACAAGAATGGGGATAAACCATATTCTTACAGTTTTTCTAACCAAAAAAAGTAATGATATTTATATACTTCTTTAACATCGCTAGGAGTAACCCTTTCCGAGAAATCTCAATATTTCTGAAAAAGTTTTGGTTTTATTGCATCTCTGAGTCATGATGGTATACTTACGTATTTCTTGTCTTTTTAACACATTTTTATATTCTTCACTTGTAAGTTTGTAAGTATAGGGTGGCCATTTGAAAACGAAACAGAGCTAATTTTGGGCACCCCAATGCATTTTCGAAAAAACTCTCGGACAAGTCGATTTTTGATAAAGAATCGACGTGTCCGAGGGTTTTTTCGTAAATGCCTTGGGGTGCCCAAAATTAACGCTGCTTCGTTTTCAAATGGCCGCATAAGTAAATGTAAGTAATAAATCTTGTAACTTGAATTAGAACCACTTCCGCTTATCAAAGGAAATTGAAATTTGGCATGTTGGTTCAGTTCCGATGACAATGCAATGTGAAATATAAAGATAATTTGCTAAAAAATAATCCCTTAAGAGGGTGAAAGGGGTAGTTTTCTGTATATATCGAGAACAGTGATATCTAGAGATATGTGGTTTTCACTTTTGGATAGATTACGATAAATTAAGATGACTTGCGAAAAAAAGTTGTTATTTCATCCCCTAAAGGGTGAAAGGGGAAAAAATTAAAAAAAATAAAAAATAAATAAAAAGTTGTTTATTCCAAAACTAAAAACATGAAAAATAGATTATAGTGTAAAAAACTAAAAAAACACGCTTTTACTGTACTAAAATGTATAAAATAATACAATTTACCTAAAATGTTTAATAAAAAAATGAGGCGCTTTAAAGTGCGTTTCCTTGAAAGGCATACACCTACTTACGCTTTTTTATTAAACATTTTAGGTAAATTATATTATTTTATACTAAACGGTAAAAGCGTTTTTTTTTTGTTTTTTTAAACTACTTATAATTTTTTCTAGATGTCTTCCAGAAAGACTAAAAGACAGTCGGGTGCCTTCTATAGAAAAGAGAAGAATAAAAGAATAGAAGAAATCTCTAAACAAGCGGGAGCATTGAGAAAATATTTCAGAGAACCGGAAAAAACTGAACCTGAACCTGAACAAAAAGATTTGATTCAAAATGCGGTGTTTGATTATTCACAACCATCCACCAGTACTTATGACGATAAAAACACCAAATCCAAGGACCTCACACCTGATGAAGGCGATGAAATGGCAAGTTCATCATCAACATCATCAAACAGTTTCATTCCCAGTGAGCCCGAATGTGAAGATGAGACTGAAAAGGAAGAGGATTCTGCTCAAATAGCCCTAGATGATCCAGGTACTTGGCCTAACATTTTAACGAAAACATATATTGATTTATTGGTAGAACATGGTCCCAAACAAGTAACAAATTTTAAATTTCCGGTGGATGAGGATGGCAGAAAATTTAGCAGTTCATATTATATCAAAACTTTAGTGAACGGGGAGAAAATAAATCGCGCGTGGCTCTCCTATTCCATAAAACTTAATCGTATTTTTTGTTTTGCATGTAAATTGTTTAGCAAAGTTAGTTCAACACAACTTGTAAATACTGGCTTTTCTGATTGGCGTCATTGTTCGGACTACCTCAATAAGCACGAAAATACTCTAAAACACGTAAATTCTATTAGATCGTGATGCGAGTTAAAGATAAGGCTGGAAAAAAAAATTACTATTGACGCGGAACAACAAAATGTTTACAACAGGGAGAAAAAGCGATGGCGCGCCATCATTGAAAGACTGATTGCTGTAGTACAATTTTTAGCGAGTCAAAACTTGGCATTCAGAGGAACTAGTACGAAGTTGTATCATAAAGATAATGGTAATTTTTTAAAGGCAGTAGAGATGTTGGCCAAATTTGATCCAGTTATTTCAGAACACCTTAATAATATCAGTAAATGTAAAGATAACAAAACCCGTATTCCACACTACTTAGGGCAGCATTTTCAAAATGAGATAATCAATATTTTAGCAGACTCTATCCGTAATGAGATAACACGAATTGTCAAGAACGCCAAATATTATGCTATTATTCTCGACTCTACACCAGACATTAGTCACACAGAACAAATAACGTTTGTAATTAGGTGTGTGAATACTACTGATGGTAAGGTAGATATTTTAGAATTTTTTCTAGGATTTTTTCCAATAACTAATACCACCGGAGAAGGCCTGTGCAATTTTCTATTAGAAAAGCTATTACCTAGTCTGCAACTTGAAGTTAAAGATATAAGGGGTCAGGGCTACGACAATGGATCGAACATGAAAGGGAAAAATATAGGGCTTCAGAAACGGATTCTGGATATAAATCCTAGAGCATTATACGTGCCGTGTGCGGCTCATACATTAAATCTCGTCGTTAATGACGCTGCCAGCTCTAGTGGTGAAATTTCTGGCTTTTTTGATATAGTACAAGAGGTTTATAATTACTTTTCTGCGTCCCCATATCGATGGGATATACTAAAAAAGCACGTAAAAAGTCTAACTTTAAAACCGTTAAGTGAAACAAGGTGGGAAAGCCGTATCAATGCTATTAGACCTCTAAAACAAGACCTAAAGAACATTATTACTGCATTAAATGTCTTAATTGAAGATCCTACCAGAGACACGAAAACAAAAATGGGTGCTAAATCAATTATTAAAAGTCTACAAACATTTAAATTTTTGTGTTCAGTTTTAATTTGGCATGATTTATTATCAAGAATTGATGTCTTAAGTAAAATGCTTCAAAATCCTAAATTGAATATCGCGGAATGCATTCAAGGCTTAGACAATCTTAAAAAATATTTGGAATTTCAAAGATCTGACGATAATTTTAAAATATTTGTCGAATCAGCAACAACTCTTGTTAGAGATTTAGGTACTGATCCTGAATTTCCCATCTCAAAGCTTAGGAAAAAGGCCCGTTTATTTGATTACGAGGGTAGTGATGAACCAATTTCAAATCCCGTCCAACAGTTCAAAACTGCTTTCTATTTTACAATTCTTGATCACGCGATCTCCTCGGTAAATGAAAGATTTACCTTGTTATCTGAGTGCTATTCAATATTCTGCTTTCTGTATGAGTTTCATAAAATTTCTAATGAAAACCTTATGAAAGCCTGCATGGACTTAGATATTAAGTTACAGGTACGGGAGGAAGAAAATATCGTGAAAGATATAGACGGTATACAACTCTTTAATGAACTAACTTCATTCAAAGATATTTTTCCAGGTGAAAAACAGCCAACTGAAATATTAGAGATAATAGTCAAAAATGATCTCATTCCCTGTTTTCCGAATTTTGCTCTGGCATTAAGAATATTTTTAACCTTACCTGTTTCTGTGGCTTCAGGCGAAAGAAGTTTTAGTAAATTAAAAATTATTAAAAATTACTTAAGAAATAATATGACACAAGAAAGGCTTACAGATTTGGCCATCATTTCTATCGAATCCGCATTCTCTGAAAAAATTGATTTGACCGAAATTATTGACAAATTTGCTTCTCAGAAAGCCAGAAAAGTTAGTTTATAGTTAATTATTAGGTAACCTTTGTAGAAGGACTGATTACATACCTTTCACGAGATTTATGATGTTTAAGTACTTTTTGTTATAAGATTGTATTTTCTGAGTGAATATACTGTTGTTTTGTATTTGTAATTATAAAATGTCTATTTATACTTATAAGGATTTATTTTTGTTTTTTAGTATCTTGGTAAAGTATTTTTTCACTATTATAACCTGGCTGGCCATAAAATAAAATTTTGCGTTTCAAATTTTATTTGCATTTTTATTAATTTTTTACTTTTCTAAAGGGGGGGGCGGCACATTAGGTCTTTGCACGCGGGCGGCCGACACCCTAGGATCGGCACTGTGTATGATGAATTATAACTCGTTATAATTCACAAAACACAAATGCAGAAGAAAAGAAAAGTGAAATTGACGTTTAAACGTCAATGATGATCCTTTTATTTACACTGTTGAAGCGCCTACTGCTACTAGCGCCTCCAATATCGCTTGTAGGAACTACGGACTATATTGTCACGTATGGGGGGAAGTTTAGTTATTTTTAGTTATGACATACATAAAAACACAAAAAATACACATTTTTTTAAAGATATGTTTAATATCAATATTAAATATACAACAGAAATATAATTTCTTCACAAAAAAATATAAAATTAAAAGAATAATGTTACAAGTACCGATCAAGAGACAAAATAATTTATATAACAAAACTGAAAAAAACGGCGTCGTAGATGGCTTAGAAATGAAGATATATATCATAATTTTGAAAGTAAAATTATACTAGAGCTGGCATTTCTGGTCTTGGGTACCGATTTTCGTGTGTACGAAGAGTACGGTCAAGACGCTTAGCAAAATAAGATGTACTGAATAAACACAGAAGGCAAGTATTTTCTCAAGCGCATGAAATATAGCGTCAGATTAAGTGGTTATGTAATAAATACTTCGTATTTTTGCTCTCTCCGACTTACTAGATTGCCATAACGATTCACTCCTGTACATGTAAACGCCGACCCAAGGTTTGGCTTGCCAGCAGGGTATGGGAAATGTCATCGATCATCATTTTTAAGCCAACTGGACGATTATTCCAAACATACAGCATATAATTTCAATATCCTAAGTGGAAAGAAACAATATCACCTTTCTGTTTTATACTATGGTCCGTTTCTTCCGATGGGTCATATCGTTGGTCTTTAGGAAGGTATCCATAAAATATATATTTTACTATCAGTCCTGGGATGAAAAATCATAAAATTCAGTTTGATTTGATGATCCTTTTCTGTTACCTAAATGAGGAGAATGACAATGAACATGTGAAGATGAAAAAAAATAGTACACATCATTTATCTGCACTTACCTACACACAGTGCCTGACTTAAACATCCAGGGCCCCTAGGCACTTGACATTTGGGCCCCCCCCATGTCATAGCCAATTTGGAGCTTATATATAAAAGTTGCGCGCTACTCATTGAATGGGGCCCCTAGGCCCGGGCCTTGCAGGCGGAAATCCGGCCCTGCCTACACATTAGTCCAAGGAGTTTTATCAAAAACCCATATTTGCCTAAATAATTATTGTATTAAATTTGCAAAGCAAAGTGCAGCGTGTAAACAAAAGAAATAAAATGGCGGGCAAGTCAATGCCTAACCTAACCTAACACGACAAGGAGACAAATAGTGTTCGAATGACAAATTATGGGTTACCAAAAATTGTTTGTCTCCTTTCAACGCACGCTTTAGAACGAAAAACAGGTGAACTCAATTACTGAAAGATCGTCAAGTTTTATCTGTCACTCTTGTCAATAATTTATCGGTAAGGAAAATTCCTAGAAAATCGCTTGTAGCCAAGTTTTGAACCATTGCCAGTTGTCCAATGTCGCGGTGATTAATCACCCTCCTAAACCCTCTACATAATATTGCGCAACTTTGCCTCTATTTAACCGAGAGCGTATCTTTTTTAGTTTCCGACTCACACTGTCATTTACAGAAAATTATTGTGTTCATAATATTAATTCCAGTAAAATTTATTTTACGTAGTAAAACCAGAATTAACGTCAAAATATGGAACTTTTGAAAGTAACGTTGTCATATTAGTGCTTAAGTATTTTTTAATGGTTAAATTTATTACTTTCTAATGTCTTGGTGTATTTGCACCAACAAGTAATACATTATTCACGTCCATAAAAATACTGTTTATCAGTATACAGGGTGAGTCTTAAATAAGTGCAAATATTTTCAGGGCTGGTAGATCTCGATAAAATATACAGGGAAATTTAAAAGCAAATGCACGATTTTCAACATCTTTTTTTAGCGAAAAAAACCTCAGACATGTTCCTGGGGTTGAAATATACCACCCCTAAAAATATTTACACTTATTTAAGACTCACCCTGTATAATCAAGTATATAATATTGAACTTGCTAAGTTGTTTCTAGTTACTTTTTTATAAAATATACGAAAAAGTTGCAGGGTGTAAAAATATTTATTGATCGATTAAAATTGGATTTTTATAAATAAATTTAGTACACTTCATCGGTAACAGCTGATAGTCCAATAAAATTGTCATTTGAAAAAAAAAACGGGCAAGCTGATTTTTTCAGAGTTTGTCAGCGAGTGTAAAATAAACAAGCGTCTTCTGAGTGTAAAATAAACAAAATCGGAAATTTTCCCCTTGCGGTTTTTGAGCAATAGGGGTGGTTTTTTTAAAACTGTCCTACAACAAATAATTAGACGCAAATTGTACATAAGAACATTCTCGATAAGTTCGCCTAATAATTTTTTTATAAGTTTATTATTTCCGGACTTAGAAGCCGTTTCATGGGCCCTTTGGGGTGGTTTTCAAAAAGTTTGTTTTATAGCAAATTGGCCCGTATGAAAGTTGTTCATAATAAATGGACAAGCAACTTTTCCTCATGATTTTTTTTGTAGCTTCATTATTTTTGGAGATAGCTGGGATTTTTGAGATATTTGATTTTTATTGAGATTTTTGGGCGCTATCTCCAAAAATAGTCAAGTTACAAAAAAAGTTCATAAGGCATAGGTATACAGAGAAGACCAGGCTACTAGTAACATAGCAAGTTGCCGGACGAATTTACGTTTACCCGTTTTGCGTTCGTACTCGAGATTGCCGGCTAGTCGGCTGGTCAGGGAGTACGCAGTTGCAGTTGTGCTTCGACGGGTCGGTCGTGACAGACTAGGAATACGACGCGAGGAGTGTCGAGTATTTATTATTTTCATTTTAAGTGATTACCTTCACTTAAGGTAACATTTAAAATGAAAATACTTAAATATTTATTATTTGAGTGTGTTTACAAGCCAAAACTAAAAATAAATAAATTCTCTAAACTCAAAAAAAAAACTAAAATATTACTCTAAATAAGAAAAAGTTATAACAAGTGTTCAAAAAGACCGTCTTCTTGTGCTAGACAGAAGCCTAGGCGGTCGTAAAATCCCCGTCTGACATTGGCTAATAGTTTGGAAAGCCTCTCGTATTTTTACTTGAAGCTCATCCAGGTTATTAGCCCTATTATGACCATACACTTTGGATTTTACATAACCCCACAAAAATAAGTCATTGGGAGAAAGATCTGGTGACCTAGCGGGCCACAAAATAGTTCTATATCCACTAATTAAACGGTTGGGAAAAGTATTGTTCAAATATTCTTGAACAATACGGGCATTGTGGGCAGGACAACCTCAGCAATTTGATTACTTGAAAACGTGGGATTTTGATCCGCGGTAGCACAAATGAACACTTGCTTTAACTCCTGTTCTTCATTAATCAACACATCAGGCTTTTTGTGTTTTTGTGGGAACACGCACTCATCTGTTTCAAAATTATTAATAACTCTTGATACAGTAGGTAAAGATGGAATTGGCCTGTTTACAAAAGTTTGTGGAAAAATTGTTTGTATATTCCGATAAGACCTATTTTGGAAATACAATTTTACAATTTGATGTTTCTCACGAACTTAAACTCTTTCTCACGAACTTAAACTCTCACGTAAACATCCATTATTTTACTTAAAAAATAAATTTTACACGAGAACTGTCGCGAGAATCTATGTATTCGTTTAGGCTATTAAAACACGAATAAATACAAATTCTGAAACATTCTTATCACATATCTACCTATTTTTATTTTATGGCATTTTTTCGCCTGCTTTTTATTCGGCGGACGGGTATACGCTAATTCGTCCGGTTCTGCCTATGTTACTACTACGGTGGTCCGGTCTGTATGTACTCTTATTTTGAACGAGTTTCCTAGGGTGAATTTGCTGAAAAAAGAGTAACATTGAAAACTACCCTAATTTGTTCATGAACTGGACGCTCATGAGCTGGATCTCCAAAAATAATCAAGCTACAAAAAACATTAATGAGGAAAAGTTGCTTGTCCATTTATTATGAACAACTTTCATACGGGTCAATTTGCTGTAAAACAAACTTTTTGAAAACCACCCCAAAGGACTCATGAAACGGCCGCTAAGTCCGGAAATAATAGACTTATAAAAAAAATCATTAGGCGAACTTATAGAGAATGTTCTAATGTACAATTTGCGTCTAATTATTTTGTTGTGATACAGTTTTAAAAAAACCACCCCTATTGCTCAAAAACCGCAAGGGGAAAATTTCCGATTTTGTTCATTTTACACTCAGAAGACAGTCGCTGACAAACTCTGAAAAAATCAGCTTGCCCGTAATTTTTTTATTTTCGCTCTCTATACGGCGATATAATTTTACTGGATTATGAGTAATATTAAAATAAATTTCATACCATATATATTTTTTTTCGTACGTGTATAATATCACCTTACGATCAAGAAGTTTTGTGATAAGGTAAGAATGATGAAATGTAATACATACAGGGGCCGTATATCATGATTTTTTTAATCACAGTGTATATTATTCTCGTATTATGTGAAAGTATTAAAATATTTATTTTACTAGTTGTTTTAATTGCTGATAAAACTAGTTGTAATTAACCCGGAAAATGAGAATTATAAAAATTACAAAAATTGTGTATTATTTATTTATCTATAATTGATTGTTTTAATTGGTCCTAATTATCATAAGTATTAAGCAAGCGAAAAAAAATCTGAGATGATATAATTTTTACGTTTTTTAAATAAATATTCTATAATTTCCAACGAATTTTTCAGTTGTTTATTTATTTATTACATTTATATATACCGGGTGCGTCTCAAAAGTGGCTCACCCTAACTTTTTTATTTTTTTCAGATGAAAAAACGAGATTTGGTATGTTAGTATATGACATAAGTTAGGATTCATTGACGTATTCAGTTGTTTTCGGTCACTTCCTGTTTCACCGGAAATGACTACAACTGTTGATTTTTAAATGCCACCCTCGGTATTTTTTTACTTTATTCGATAGAAAATGACATATCATATGTCAACTTTTGCTCGAAAACAAATTGTATTTTAAATTATAATCTAGAGTATAAATCTAACTATATATAAGCTGTGTTAAAAACACTAATTTTTAAGGAAGGAGCCTTGGAAAAATAGATTTGATCGTCTAATGTTTTTAGTGTCTTATTCGAGCCGCTTAAAAGATGCCCAAATCGAATTTTTAATCATATCTCAATCTTTTATAAAGGAACGATGGTGGCTTATTAGCATATTTGGAAACAGCATTTTTTTATGAATAATTTGATACCACCCACTTGGTATTTCGAGTCAAATTGTCGTTATGAACCGCATGTTACAATTTTAAATAAACCATATGCGAAAATGTCAAAAGTTGACATATGATATGCCATTCTATTCAGAGTGTCATTTTCTATCGAACAAAGTAAAAAAATACCGAGGGTGCCATTTAAAAAGCAAAAGTTGTAGTCATTTCCGGTGAAACCGGAAGTGACCACAAACTATTGAATATGTCAATCCTAATTTATGTCATATTCTAACAAACCAAATTTCGATGTTTATCTGAAAAAATTAAAAAGTTATTGAGGTGAGCCACTTTTGAGACGCACCCGGTATACTTAATTAGAATTTGAAGGGTTCAGGGGAAAAACTTGATAAGTGCCAATTTCTTAATTTTAGGATGTTTTCGTAATTTTCTCTTCTCTAAAACGGTATGGAAATTTGGGAAAGTATAAATAGGATTAAGCATTTAAGAATAAGCAAAAATTTTAACGAAGAATGCATTTTCCTCAAAATGTCAATAATAAAAAGGTTTTCCTCTTGTAAAGGCAATCCGGTGGCATACTGTATAATTTATATTAATATCTATTTATATTATATTAATATTTTATTAATATTAGTAAATAAAACAATATACTTATTAAACATGGATTTGCGACAATAATACATCTGTAGTGGGTTCCTTTATAGTAATGCAGATATAATTAAAACTATAATTAAATATGTAAATTTTAATTATTTCAATCTATTTATGTAATAAAAATTTAATTCCTCATTCTAAAAAGGATTTCATGTATTTGTATTCTAAATATAAATTATAATGTTATTGGAATATCATTATGATTTGTTTTATCTTCTGGTTACTTTATTTATTAGATTGTACTATTATTTTAATTAAGATTTATTTAACTCGTGGTTACCGTTTTTAATTGTTGCTCTAACTTTACCGTTTTTCAAATACATAAGTCCGAAATAACCGAGTTATTTTACTTTGAAAATATCCAAAAAAAATTGGTCAAGTGCGAGTCAGACTCGCGCACGAAGGGTTCCGTATCATTCATTATCTATACATTAGACACTATATTATTATAAACTTTTTTTCCGATTTAGCTGAAATTTTGAATGCGCGTATAAGTAATTTAAAAAAAAATAAGAAACACATTACTAAAAATTGTATTAATCAATAATAAATATGTAAAAAGTAAAAATAAATATGTAAAAATATGTAAAAATTAAAAAAAACGATTAAAAAAAGTCGCCTTGACTAGGATTCGAATCTGCCTTACTACGGCTCCAACGTCATAGCAGCGTAAAGTCCTAACGCTTTAACCACGCGGCCACCGAGGACTTGAAAGATTCTATGTAAAATTCTTACTTAAAAGATAATGTTTAGTGAAAGTACTTTTTTTATTTATAAACATTTATTTAATTCTGTTTTTAGTATTTGTTCTTATAGCGGCAACACAGATACATTATCTGTAAAAATTTCAACTGTCTAGCTATAAGGGTTCATAAGATAGACCTTTGTGACAGACGGACGGACAGCGAAGTCTTAGTAATAGGGTTCCCGTTTTTACCCTTTGGGTACGGAACCCTAAAAATAATTTTTTGCTTAAATTTTGATATCCAGTGGATCTTTTGAAAATGAGTAAATAATACGATTTGTGAAAATATATTAATTCAATACATTTTTACAGGTCAACATTGTATTTCACGTTGCTGCAACAGTTCGTTTTGACGAGAAAATCAAAACTGCCGTAGCCATTAATATTCGAGCCCCGAGAGATTTGCTTAGGTTGAGCAGAGAAATGCCGAACTTGAAATGTTTTATGCACACGTCCACAATATTTGGCAATTGTATGCAATCGGTAATAGAAGAAAAAGTATATCCACCCGCAATTGACAGCCACAAACTAATACTCATGACAGAATGTGCACCTGAAAAAATCCTAGAAGAAATTACACCCAAGTAGTTCAACTACAGCATTATTTATTATGTTCTGATAAGACTCTTGAATTTTTAGACTTATAGAGCCATATCCAAACACATACACTTTTACAAAACAAGTAGCGGAAGATCTGGTTAAAAAAGAGGGAGAAAATCTGCCTGTTGCCATATTTAGACCAGCTATAGGTAAGTTAATTCATTTAATATGAATTCATTTAAATTTTATCAAGTAGCATATAATTACAACATAAGTCGTTATACAGGGTGAGTCTTAAATAAGAGCAAATATTTTCAGGGCTGGTAGATCTCGATAAAAGAAACATATTTTCTCTTTACCATTTTTCAGATAAGTCCAAAATAACCGAGTTATTTAAGTTTGAAAATTTACAAAAAATATTTTTTTTGGAAAAATTTTGAGAGCCACCGGATTTTTTTCTATATTTGTATCCCTTTTTAGTTTCGTAACCATAGAGTAAAGCCGTACTATCAGAGATTAAGAAATTATACCGTGGGAAAATTTGCGGCGAACAGGCAGTTCTAAAAAGTTTTCGAAAAATATACAGGGAAATTTAAAAGAATGTGCACGAGATTCAACCAAATCTTTTTTTGCGAAAAAAATTTCATAGACGTGTTTTTGGGGTCGAAATATACCACCCCTGAAAATATTTGCACTTATTTAAGACTCACCCTGTATAGTGCAGGAATAATCATTAAAACAATCTATTTTTTTTTATGCATGAGTATCAAAAAACAGTTTAAAATAATTTAGGTTTCTGTAAGAACTCAAATTATTGTCACTAAAAAGCACTGTAAGGTAATAAAAATGGATGTCAGTTTGTGTCAGCTAAAGAAATTGGACTTTAACTAATAATACCGTACGATCGAAAAAAAAAACGGCGTCCAGTTGGCTTGGAAATGAACATCGATGACATTCCCCATATAATTTACACATAAAATGACAGCGATCTTCATTTCATAGCCATCGCTGACCCCGTTTTTTTTTGGCCATACGGTATATCTATGATGTCGATTAGTAGACCAAATAAAATTAGACCACGTATACATAGATATCAATGATATCATTATACCGTATGATTGAATGATTCGATACCGAAGCATAAAAAAAACGGCATCAGCGATGGCTATAAAATGAAGATTGCTGTCATTTTATATGTAAAATTATATGGGGGATGTTCATTTCCAAGCCAACTGGGTGCTGTTTTTTTTTGATCACGGCATTTCTTCCTTAATAAGTTTTATTTCATGTGTATTTACTACCGTATGATCGAATAAAAACGGCGTCAGCGATGGCTATGAAATGAAGATCGCTGTCATTTTATATGTAAAATTATATGGCAAATGTCATCAATCGTCATTTCTAAGCCAACTGGACGCCGTTTTTTTTCGATCATACGGTATATCTTATAGGGTCTGTCTAATGAGAGAAGAAACGATTTTGACAACGACGACCAAAAATTTGGAGTCAAAAACAATTTGCTTTTCAATTAAATTGACAAAAAACTGTCATATTATTTCTTCTTTGGAAAGGCTATAATCGCTATTTGTACTTGATTTAAATAATCTTCTGCCTGACCTGATTGATCATTATTCTTCACAGACCTGTTTTGATAATAATTGATAACCTAATACTTTAATTTTATCCAGATGACATATTTCAATTATTTTACGTTTTAGTTGTTTCCACCTATAAAGAACCATTTCCAGCATGGATAAATAACATGTACGGACCAACTGGTGTATGCGCTGGATCTGGGGTTGGACTTATTAGAGCACTGCATTGTGATGCAAAATGTAACGCAAATCTCGTACCCGTTGACATGTGCGTCAACTCTTTAATTGCAGCTGCTTGGGAAACCGCATTAAGTCATAAACAAGGTAAAACAACAACTTTTCATAATATAAGTTATCTATTACGAGTAAAATAATTACAACATACAACTTTAAACTAGACTAACTGTGCAATTCCCTTTGTAATTATTAATTGTTTTTTTTTTTTAAAAACCTAACCCACTTGTTTTCATCATTAACTATTTTAATCATCAATCATCCTTGGTGACGATTTTGGAAATTTAATTTTCATTTAAAATACAGTTTTTTTTCAATCGTCACAAAAGTATTAATTTTTGCGATGTGATTGAATACCGAAAAGGAATTTTAACGCCTAGTCATAAAGGTAAAGCACTTTTACGCCTAAGCATAAAAGTACGAAATAGCTATTTATGTAACAAGTTGCGAAATGAATGTGTTTTAAGCACGGGACGCAAAATTGTCAACAATTTCAACAATTGGACAATGCGTCAAGTGCTTAAAACACTCTTTTCTCAAAGAATTTCATACAAGATTTTTTATGAAAGCGGATAATTTGAGATTTTCATGCTATTATTATTATTTATTTTTAAACATTTTTTAAAATGTTCTGGTAATCGGTTTATAAGGCATTGTCTATGCATTGTTTAATGACAAAGTTCTGTCAGGTTCACACGTCGTCGTATTTCCTACAAAGTTTTGTGAAAAATGAGTGATAATGACAAGTCTTTGGATATTCAACAAGCGGCTGAAACTGCGCTATCCACGTTAGTGCCCGAGAAGTCGAAAAACTTATACGAGACCACCTACAACAACTTTGAAACCTGGGTCAAAGAAAAGCATGTTGAGAATTTTACAGAAAAGGTATTGCTAGCCTATTTCCTGAAGTAATCCACTACCTTAAGCCGTCAACTGTGTGAAGTAAATATTCGATGCTCTCTCGGCACCATGACTTACCTGAACAGAAACGTAGATATTAGCAAATTCACAAATCTTATTGCATTTTTAAAAGGAAAAGCTTCCGGATACCAGTATATCAAGCAAAGAAATCAAAGGTATTTACAAAACTGGAAATAGAACCCTTTATGAAAGAAGCCGATGACAAAGAATTCCTGTTAGCTAAAGTTGTCTTAATCGTTGGAGCATGTAGGAGGGAAGAAATCACGTTTTTGACCGTAGATGCCATTAAAGATTGTCAGTCATTTATCAGTGTGAAGATTCCGAATACAAAAACTCATTTTCCAAGAGTGTTTACGATTAGTGAGGGATCAATAGATATCGAAAAAATCAATGCTGTACCCTGCCAGTTGGAATCAATACAATTAAAGGTATGCCAAAAAAGATAGCGGAGTTTTTGTGGACGCCATTGAATACACTGGTTATTGTTTCCGGCGCAATCTGCAACAATGCTAGCAGATTCAGGAGCGGACATAACAGTTTTAAAGCCACATGGAGGTTGGTGATCAAGCTAGGTCGCTGAAGGTTACATTGAATAGGGTAATAGGGTAATTCAATTGAACAGAAAACCGAAATAGCAAATAGAATCATGGCATGAGACAGAAAGATACGCCAAATAAGAAATTAAAAGCAGTTTAAGTAGAAGCAGAAGCATTGCAAGTACCTACAAGAAATTTACTTATTCCCACTCCTACAACTTGCATTTCTCTTAGAGACGAAAAGTTGGATGCCTCTTGTATTCACTTTAATAATTTAAATAATTGTATCTTTAAGATTTATAATAAATACATATTTTCATTGTTTCTAACGTTTCATTGTTTACTTTTAGGCACTAGTGCCTACACAAGTGTCACTTTCAGATACTAGTGCCTAAAAGAATGCCATTTCGAATAAATATCAAAAACTGTCAATTTCTAAACGCTTTCACAAAAATATATTATTAAACTGACATAAAGTGTCAAATTCAACGTGCGTAGTTTCTCTATATATTTATAACTACCATAATTACTTACATTTTAAATTGTTTTATATTATTTAGAACGTTTAAAATTGTTTAAAAAATTATTTGTGACGTTTGAAAAAAAATTGCGTCTTCTATTCGGAGTAAAAATGACTTTTGTACCTCGCTTGTAATGTCAAGCGTACAACCCCGCCACAAAAAGTATCATTTTTACTACTAATAAAATAATAAATATACTATTATGTAGCATAAAAAAATGACCCTAAGTATTTTTTTCAGCCATCAAGGACGGCCAGCAATATGAAATTCCGGTATATAATTATGAATCCTTCAGTTCTCAACCGATAACATGGGGCAAATACATGCAGTTAACTGAAAATTATGGTTTGATATATCCATCCATTAAAGCCATATGGTATTATAGTTTAACTCTTTATAAGTACTATCCAATATATTTGTTTGTAACTTTCTTTCTGCATACGATACCTGCACTCTTTGCAGATGTTGGACTATTCTGTATAGGAAGGAAACCAAGGTAAATATATTTTTAATTTTGGTATCCAATAACATTTTGTAAATATAATAGTGCTTAGGTCAAGAAACTTTCATGTTCATATCATTTAGTTGAAGCCAATGCCAAAAAGTATTAATTGCATTTCTGGGTGAAGTTTTTTTTACTTGAAATCACTTATAAAAAACATCCAGTATGTAGAAGCCTCATTCTCTTTTTTCCGACTTTAGAATAACTGTAATCAGTTACATGAAAACGTGTTCCTGCTTTACATTCTAAACACTTTTCTTGTCTAGGTATGAACTTAACCTAGTAGGTATTGTAATTTAGACATCAATACCGAACCGAGAAAAAACAAAAATGAACCAACAATTCAAACCAAACCAAAACAAACCTAATCAAACCAATCAAAACACGCTATAAGCTAAAACGTGTCTGTTTACGAATTCCAATTATTGCCGAGTACTTTTCAAATCTTGCTATATTTTACAATATTTTATCAATAAATGAAAATGGTACACTTTCGCAAGAAGTTTTTTTTGCGTGTCTATGTTTAGAAAATTTTCTAGAATGAAAAACAGAAACATTTTAAAGTTTGAAAAACTAAAAATTATGCATTTTCGCAGCAAAATTTTTATGACATAATGACATAATATTCAAAAAGGCTTCCGAATTCCAAATACTAAATAAACAAATATTTCTTACATAACTGATTTCATGAAACTGAGTTTTAAAATCATCTGCTAATGATGCTAACATGGTTAGCGAAACGCGCGTCCAGTGTAAAAGTAAAAGTGTTTTGGTGTATTGTGGTGATTTAGTGTTTTATTTTGCTGTGTAACACCAAAGGTTCCAACCTTCAACTGTAATGATTTCAAGTAAACAAAAGTAATCCTGATTTCAGTTATTCTAAAGTTGAAAAACTCATGCAACTCAAACTCATGCATTTCGACAGAAAGGATGCATTTCGGCAGAATTTTTTTTATAACATACTATTCGAGAAGGCTTTCAAATACTAAATAAACAAATATTTCTTACATAACTGATTTCAAGTAAATGGAGCCAAAGTTCTTTATATTGCAGGTAAATGTAGTCTTTATAGCGAACGAACCTAGAATTTAGTTCAAATGTTGATAGGATATTTCTGTTGAATAGACTATACTTAAGGTACATTCAGGCTGAGAGCGTCGAGCGTCGCGTCGCGTTTGCATCGCGTCCGCCCCACAGAGGGGATTTTTTCCAAATTCGTGTCCAAAATGATTTTTGTAGCATAAACTTACTATTTCTTTTCAAAACTAGTATTTACATTAAAAGTGAGTCATATTTACTAAGAAAATGTCTATTATACACTTTGATGCTATACAGGGTGACAAAAAATTGCAAAGTTCGAAACAGAGGTAATATTAATTATTAGAAGAAAATATTCAGTAGTTTTCATCTTTAAACATGTATTTTTGCAAATTGTTCCTATGTTTTTCATTTTCATTACATATAAATTTTAAGGGAGTGTACAACCCCTAAAATATGTTTTATTTTAAAAATTGGTTAATTTTGCAGAAAAATGGTTGAACACGTATTTTCTATCGCTTTTCACCAAAATCAATAGTTTTTTAAATAAAAAATATTTAAGGGGTTGTTCATCCCTTAAAATTTGGGTTTTGAAAAATACCCTACTTATTGAACACAAACACATCTACACCTAACAATCTATACGTAAGCCAAAATTCAGCTTTTGACTCCCATTGGTTTCAGCTTGATGAAAAGGGGGTTGTATTCACCCCCTATGGGACAATCATTGTGGAAAAAAATATCTTCGTATGTCAAAAACAAAAATAAAAATACGTGTTCAAGCATTTTGTCGCGAAACCAGTGGTTTCTTAAATAAAAAACATTTCAATATTGAAAGGGTAGTTACAACCCCTTTAAATTCAAGTTTTATAAAATTCTTTCTTATTGCTCGCCTACTTTGTATAAGAAACCTTTGTGCAAAATTTCGAGTCTCTAGACCCAGAGGCTTAAGCTGTGCATTGATATGTGCCTATATCCGTCACTTACAGTCACTTTCACAGACATTTTTTTACGTGTCCGTTAACTAAAGGACAATTAAATTTAAAGGTGCCATTTATTTGACGTGACACACAAGTCATCAATCAGTGTTAAAATGGCACTTAAAAGACCCTTAACCTAACGGTCTCTTAAAAAAAATGTTGATGCAAGTGGCTGTTAGTGTGTGTGTGAGACAGTTTATTCTATTATATAAGTAGATTTCACATTACGTTTAGAGCCAAAAAACTGTTATTTTGAACAGATTAGCAAAAACTAGCAGTTATTTTTAACACAGTTAATAAGATTAAGCATTGATAAATAAGACAGTGAAAAGCATTGAGCTTAATACGCATTAATAGGGTACCAAATGCTTAACCGAATGAACGCTTAATTTTTTCTTTTTTCATTTTGAACAGTAGAAAACAAAACCAATAAAAGTTTATATATGCATTTTTAAAATACTACTAAGTAAAATATTATATTATTCTACATACATGAAGGTACACAATCCATGTTTCACTTTTCGCAAAAAATTATTGGAAACACAATAAAACCAAACGTCATTAGTAACGAAAATTTAAGTAATGACAGCCAGCATAACATTTTGTCTTGCTAAAGCTAACTTTGGATCAACGTAACTAGAGAATACGGTAAAAATTTATAATAATTTTTTTTAGCTTAATAGATAGATATGTTGCCTGTCATTTCAAATATTAATTATGAGAATATTGCTCATTTCAGAATTTTAAATTTTGACCACGAATTTGGAAAAAATCCCCTCTGTGCGCCCCATTGAACTCGAACCCGGACGCTCAGCGGACGCTAGCGCAACGCCAAACGCGACGCTGTCTGCCTGAACGGTCTATTTTAAGTTAAGTGAATTGATTCCATTTCGACACGCGGACGCGACGCTAGACGCTCTCAGCCTGAATGTACCTTTATTCGGAAATAGATAATTTTTAGGCGAATTTTACCACTATACAGAGTGTTGCAATATTCTGTGGGCAAGGAAATACTATATATTTTGGTATCGACATAAGCTACATAATTGAACACTATTTACTTCTATACAAAAGTACTTCGTTAGTCCGTTAGAGGATATAAAATTATATATTATATTATATATTATACAGGGTGAGTCATACAGGTATTTACACAAGTGCAAATATTTTTAGGGGTGGTATATTTCGACCCCAAGAACATGTCAAAAAAAAAGTTGAAAATCGTGTATTTCCTGTATTTCTCTTTTCTTTCACCCTGTACAGAATCTTAAATTAGTGCAAATATTTTTAGGGGTGGTAGATTTCGACCCCAGAAACACGGTTATGAGTTATTTTCGAGAAAAAAAGAAGATTTTTTTTTAGTTTTTTTGTTAAAAAGCATAATTTCTTGATAATATGGCATCATAGGTATTAGATTTATTTTATAAGTAAGAAAACCCCCAGAACATATCCAGTTGTTCTCAAAATTTAAGCAATAAACCATTTTTTACATTTTCAAAGTAAAATAACTCATTTCAAAAACGGCAGAGAAAATATGTTTCTTTTATCGAGATCTATACCAGCCCTGAAAATATTTGCACTTATTGAAGATTCATCCCGTATATATAGAAAATAATTCTTGCTACACCCATCGTTAACATCTAGTAGGCGATAATAGTCTAGTTGGCGAAAATGCTTCAAAAATAAAATTTATTTTTGTCGTTTATTTGTGATTGTCAAAAAACTTTTGTCTAGATGTAAAATATGTCCAATTAACATATTTTAATTTTAAAAATGCTTATTAGTTCTATGTTTACTATATATTAGGACATCCTGTACATTTACCCATTTTTCATTTTTGTAAGATTAATATTTGCTTTGTCATTATTAAAGCAATTTTTAATTTCTTAAACAAGTCATTACCTTTATTAGAGCGCGCATTAATAGTATTTTATATAGCCCTATTTTAAAATTTGCAGAATGGTTGCAGCCTACAAAAAAATACACAAATACTCAAAAGTTATATCCTACTTTGCAGTTAGAGAGTGGAAAATAAAGTCCAACAGAGTAGAAAATCTAGTCAACAGCATGTCAGATAGAGATCAAGAAATATTCTTTAGTGACCTGAAAAAATTAAATTGGCAAGAATACTTCGTTTATTATGTACGAGGAATAAGAGTATTTTTGATTCAAGACCCTCTTGACACTTTGGCAGCTGCTAAAAGAAATTGGAAAAGGTAATTTATTATACAGGCTGGTCTACTTTTAGTGGATCAAGGCATGTTCTCAACTGATAGCCTCACCGGTTTATTGTTACTGAAGGCATAGTATGAATATGAGAACACATTTTCAGTGAGAATAGTTACTATATTGCACGACTACAAAATAGCATTATACTTCTTCCTTAGACTTTCTATTCAATGACTAGAGTAAAGCTTCATTTAGAACCTTAAAATCAGTGAAATAAATTAGTAGTTTCAATTAGTCGTAGAAGTTTGTTCACCTAAAGCCGCGTCCAAGCTACTCGAACACAATGTTCGCGATATATAATTAAACAGATACTAAGTGAAAATTGTGAGATATGTAGATTTATAAATAATAAAGCCAACAAGTACAGCTCCAAATTTCATTGTATTATCTGAAAAAATAAAAAAGTGAGCCCCTTTTGAGAAACACCTGGTAGAATCGGCTGAAAATGAATACAGGTCTTAAAGCAAACTGGTTGTCGCATTCTTCCCCGCACCTCAGTCCTCGGGACCGATGCGATGGGCTGTGCCGTCGTTTACGACCTACTGCTACGAGTATATAGTGTGAATTATATATGTTCGCGAACGTTTTGTTCGAGTAGCTTGGACGCGGCTTAATAGGCCTACGCTAGCTGTACTTGTTGGCTTTATTAATTATAAATCTACCCAAGAACGGTAAACTAATAGGATTGCTCATTCTCATGACGTACGTTCGCCTCTTCCCGCGCTTCAGCTGACAGTTGTGACGTCATTGTAGCCCTTGTCAAAGCCTTCGCGGCCTTGTCATGATAGTGTGTATTATTAGTTGCCTATGGTAAACTTATAAAAATAACAGCTGAGAGATTATGAGTTAATTATTTTGTCAATTTTAAATGTGAAAAAGGTATCTTTAAAGTTTTTAGAGCTATAGAGTGTATAAATACGTTCATTTTGTGATATAATAAATATGATAAATACGTTCATTTTTGTGGATTGTGACAAAGTGCATACTAAGTGCCCACGATTTTGTTTATTAATTATTTTAAAGCAAAATGTGGAAGTACTCTAAAAAGAATGCTTGCAAAAGGTGATGCTGGGAACTGCTGTTCTTAAAAATGCATTATCCGAGTATTTAATACGATTTATACAGTTAATTTTCTATACTGCATATATATAAGGTGTTTAAATAAATAAACTAAATGATGAACGTTTTGCATTCGGTAAACAATAATGCACGTTTGTTCGAGTAGCATGGACGCGGCTTAATATTAATGTAAGCATTCAGAACGTCATAATTAGTGCGTAGTAATTTTTAATTAGTGGAAAAAGTTAACAAACTTTTGACTTTTCCACTAATTATACTTTATTATTTATATACTAACATTTGCGAGGAATGTCATTTTGGCCTTTGATTATCACCCGTCAAGAAAAATTTTGGTTAGAAATCAAAAGTTTATTGTTTTATAAGCTAAATATTATGCTTTCTCTATGAATACAACATACTAACGCAAGCTGTTGCTAGGATATTTTATTAATTTTAATTGTGTTTTTTAGACATTGTGAATGCTCGTAAACTAAAAAGTATAAAGTTCAATTGAAACTACTAATTTATTCCACTAATTGGGAGGTTCTGAATGAAGCTTAATTGCACCACAACTAATATTTCTTTTTCTTTTTTAGGTTCTACTACGTCCATCAGTTTGTAAAAATCCTATTTCTGTTCGTCATCTTCCAGTTCCTTTGTTCGCTGGCTCTAAAGTTTCTAAGTTTATTATGAGACTACCTCTCTAAATAATAAGAATCTATTTATGTAAAATATTGTACGGGTTTTTCGTTTACCGTTAGAGATCTTAACATATTTAGCATTGTGATATAAATATACAAGGGCTTGTATTAGCTTACATTAAGTTCCAATACTTTTATTTAATTTATGTGCTCAAAATATTGGTTTAAGAAAATAGGATAGGATAAATAATTTTTGATATGTGTATTAGTTTTTTTTTTAATAAAATTGATCTTGATAAAAATTATAACGTTTTATTAAACTAATCGAAAAAATTTAAGGATATTGTGATTTCGCTAGGAAGAAAATTTTTCAGAAAAAATGTGTTAAAATAATACCTAGGTCGTTTGTGTTTAAAAAATACTGTTTGTAAACATAAAAAATTGTACCCAAACAAATAAAAAGCATTATCATCAAAAGTGTACATTTAATTTTTGTTTAGAATAGAATTTGTTTGCTTGTTGCTAAGCGGCAGTTTGCGATATTACATATAACAGACGTCATTTTAACAGTAGAGGAAGCAAATCAAACCATTGGGTTGCTTCTTGGCTGTGCGCGATAGATAGATGTGGCTGATGGATTTAAAGTCACCTAAAGTGTAATTTCTAGACTTAGATTAGATTAGACTAGACTAAACCCGATTTAATGAGACTAGATTTATCATAGAGAGGCATAGGGAGGATAGACCAAGGTCGACAAATGCTAGGAATGACCGAAGCTTAATGAGAGGAGCTAGGATGGATCCTGCAAGAAACTACACGTTGCTCAGCAAGGTACCTTTTGGCTGCCAGCTGGGTACTTATTACTCCTCGGACGGTCTTAAATCGGTTAAAAAAGCAGGTTTACACGTATTGTACCGAAGTTTTTGTATTTACTAGATTTTGTGTTGCAATAATAAAAATAATACTACCTCATACAGAGTGTCTATAAATTTATTTTAAATAATTATTAGCTTTAAACGGCGCAATAACTGGTTTAATTTAAATGGACCTGTATATACCCCGTATATTTTAGGTGCATCAGATAAAGATAAATAAATAAATAAATAAATAAATAATAGTTTATTGTCTAACAGGAAATCCCAAATTAAAGATAATTATTGTGTACACCATTGTACACTAAAAAATTCAGAACATTCATAATAAATGAAGCTAACATAAGCACAAATCAACAATAAAAGTACAATGCAAAATATAACAAATCTATATGTAATCTTAAAAAAAATAACACCTAGTATAAATTTAAAAGTGAAAGTAAAACTTTAATTCTAACGAACTACAATAAAAAATATCAAAAAATGCTAGGATTCTTCATTTGCTGGACCATAACAGTCCTGAATTGACGCAGCGAGTCGCCAAATATATCAACAGATGCCAGGCTCTCAACATCATTGAAATTAGTACAGGCCCGATAGAAGTGTGCCTTACCGGCTAAACAAGTCCTGAATAAGGTACTATGTACAGAAAAATTGGGGGTACAATTTAAAAAAAATAAAGCTTTATCATAACTTTTTTGGGACGCCCTGTATACAACAACATCTTTTTTAGGATATGCACCATCTGTGTCAAAACATCTGTGTAGAACTTTTTTTCATATCTTTGTCAACAACGACGATATTGGACTTTCTCGCATTAATCCGCCACCCTGTATATTTTCTAAAGGGGCGCCTAGTGGCCAGTAAATCTTTTTATATTTCTTTTAAGGAGCCTTTAACCTCAATAACAGATAAAAAATAGTTTATGCATATATAAGCATTTTTTTAAAACTCAAGATTACAATTTATTTTTTTTGTGATACACTATATAATATTAAGACTTTGAAAATTATTCTTATTGAATACATGTTGGTATTCTAACTGGACAAATCCCAAGGTCATACTTCATATAGAATAAAATTATGATAAAAAGTTCATTAAGTTTTGGAATAAGTATGAAATTATGCAGTTTAATTTGTAATAGTCAATTTAATACGGTAATTCAAATAAAATATATATTATGGAAAAACTCTTGCACTATTCAGTAAGTTAACTATAATAAAGTTATGACTATTTTTAACAAATTTGAAGAATTTAGAACACATTTATTCAAAAAAATGTCTTGATTTAGAAATTTTGCATAATTGCTGAATGTCCAGCAAATTGCATTGGGTCGATCCTCTCTGGGTCGATCCACTGTGCGCCGGCGCCGGCGCCGTTCCGCTTTTTCTAGGATGGTATGGACTTGATTAGTGATGGGAATAATCGAATTATTTTCACCATCGAATAATTAGTAATAATTCATATTTCACAATCGAATTAATAATTCGAATTATTTAGTAGTATTATAAATTTAACCTAAAAATAAATTCGTCCCAGCTAGTGCTCGTCTAGGGGCTATTTTAAACAAACCCCCTGAACCATTGCCATACCTATATTCTATCACTGAATAAAAAATAAAAATAAAAATCTTTATTCAATGTATTCTATTAACTGTGCCGAAGCCGTTTTATAAATTAAACCATAATTTAAAGTTTTAAATTTAAAAGTGCCGAGTTTATGATTGTTTCAATTCCTATTGAAAAGCTCATATCTAAAATAAAAGCTTCTTCTAAAACGATATAAGATATAAGTATGTCCTTGTTTACGTGCGGTTAGTATTTCTTTTTATTTTATCAGCTGCAATCAATAATTATTTAGTTAAAAGAAGAAAATTAATTTTAGTGTTCGCTGAAATTTGGGTGAGATGGAAATGAACCAAATAATAGTAGTATTCTTTCGTTCTGAACGAAATGAAAATTTTCACTTAAACTGATTTATTCCTACGTGGTATAGGAAATAACAATGATTTCTGGATTTTTCTATATCGGATCGTTCCTGTCTTTGTCGATTCCCTTTATAAATCAGTTTAAGTGAAAATTTTCAGTTCGTTCAGAACGAAAGAATACTACTAATAGTACTATACTAATTACTAATATTCGTATTCGTCCATAAGATGTTATGTTTTATGTTCATTTGTAATTCGGTTACCACAGATATAATATAAAATACTACTAATTTTTATCTCGATTATATCGAAAAAGATAATTCGAATTAGTTAGTTTTAATTTACTATCGAATTAGTCGTATTATTTAATTCGAATTTTCCCAACACTAGACTTGATTTGTTATACTCTGATATGGATGATGGATGCACCCCTGTGATGCACCCTGAGCGCGGATGAATTACACCATGTAGCGCAAGATCGAGAGCGATACATAACCCAGTAAAATTGTATCGTCGCGACGCGCGCCGCGCGTCGTATAGAGAGTGAAAAAAAAATTACGGACAAGCTGATTATGTCAGCGACTGTCTGAGTTTGTCAGCGACTGTCTTCTGAATGTAAACTTAACAAAATTGGAAATTTTCCCCTTGCGGTTTTTGAGAAATAGGGGTGGTTTTTTTAAAACTGTACTACAACAAAATAATTAGACGCAAATTGTACATAAGAACATCTATGAGTTCCCCTAATGATTTTTTTATAAGTTTATTATTTCCGGACTTAGCGGCCGTTTCATGAGCCCTTTGGGGTGGTTTTCAAAAAATTTGTTTTACAGCAAATTGACCCGTATGAAAGTTGTTCATAATAAATGTGTCCAGTTCATGAACAAATTAGGGTAGTTTTCAATTTTACTCTTTTCTCAGCAAATTCATCCTAGGAAATTCGTTCAAAATAAGAGTACATATACCTTTGCCTTATGAACTTTTTTTGTAACTTGACTATTTTTGGAGATAGCGCCCAGATCATGAACAAGTGGTGGTAGCTTTAAATATCTTTTTTTTCAGGAAATTCACAAGTGCTATTGATGTTTCGTTTTGAAATAAATACATATCATAGGGAAGTTTGTATGTAATTTTAATATGAACACCTTTAAGTTGGTAAATTTGTAGAACTAAACAAAAATTATGAAACTACCCCAATTTGATCATGAACCGGACGCTATCTCCAAAAATAATGAAGCTACAAAAAAAATAATGCGGAAAAGTTGCTTGTCCATTATTTATTATGAACAACTTTCATACGGGTCAATTTGCTGTAAAACAAACTTTTTGAAAACCACCCCAAAGGGCCTAAATTTTTTCAAATGACAATTTTATTGGATTAACAGAGATATTGTTAATATGGCAGTCGGCAACGTTCACTAGGAACATGACACTTGAAGAAGAAAAAGAAGAAATACATATAAGACATGACAGAAACATATGTTGCGAGTACTTCCGATAACCCCTTTTTACAATATTATTCGACATAATTGTTTTAGTTTTTAATTTTATTTATTCACATTATTTATTACATAAAAAAATAAATATGACAAAGTATCAAAAATCCTTTATTAATTTTTCCTAGAGTAATTATTTATTTTCTTGATTAAATTACATATTTATTTATAAAGTTAATTTCATTATAAACTCACAAATCGTAGCAACAACCAATATAGAAACAGAAGAATTAGGAATATCGACATGATTTTTACAAACTGATGAAGGTAGTAGAATCTGAAAAAGAAAAATTGTGATAATAATTTAGTATACCTATTAAAAAAAAATAACAATACTGAATGGAATACCGAATATTTATTTTGCCATATAGGTATTAATTATTTGGCCATATTTGTTATATTTGTTTGGCTTATTTTTAGGTCTTAGTGTTCCATTTACGTTACTATAGATAGATTTACTAAGGTAAGGTGGGGTAAATGCAATCACATGGGGTAAATGCAATCAGTCAACTTATTAACAAAATAAGAATATTTTTACTAATACTACTGTCGCCATCTAAGCGAACACACTCAAATTAAGAACGCGCCATAAGCAGGGTTCGGAAGTAGTTAATTAAGACGTAATTTACCTGATTAACTACGTGTAGTTTTTCTTCAAAAACTACGTCTTTTCCTGTTCATTAACTACATGAAAACTACGTTAATAAACTATGTATTGATATTATGAATAATTTTCCTTTGTATGAGGTGTAATAGAGATAACATGATGTAAATATTATATTTAAAGCAATATTTCTTCTGTTTTCTTAAATACATTATGTGTTTTTAAAGCTTCAACTTATTATAACCCACTTTATGTTTTCCAATATTAAAAATTGATTTTTAAAAAATAATTCTAACTCAGAAAACCAAAGATTTATTTACTACTTTTTAGTTTATATTTTACTTTTAACTTATTTAATTAACAATAGAAAAAATTGATATGGTGACGGGCAGAGATTCGTTCTGCACTGCTGTCGATAGATCAATCCGTTGTTTGAAGTCCTGTCTTCGCTATTTATAATTAAAGGGTATCTTGCATCAGCATTATTGAACAATGAAGGCTGGATACATAACTCCCATTGTTATAACCTCATCTCAAATCTTTGATATTTGAAAGTTACATACATAGGTTACATAAACTACACCCTCTACATAAACTACATTAACTACATGTAATGTAGTTTATGTAGTTTTTCAAAGTAACATGTAGTTTTCCGAACCTTGGCCATAAGTCACAGACTCTTCGCGGCAACTGGTGTCAACTGTTTACAAATCTTTTACCGAACGTAAGGGAATGAGTGTATTTATGCGTAGCACGTGTGTTATAAATTTGCGATTTTTTTGTGAAAAATTAAAGGTGAGTGTTCAATTTTACGTAAGATGTAAGGCTATAGGGGGGTTGTTTTTGTATTCTGTGAGTTTAAATATGAATCATCAAATATGTTTTGTATTGTATACATGATTGCACTTGCCCCATTGAAACTCCACATTGGGGCAAGTGCAATCATATTTCGGCGGGGAAGTGCAATCAATTGGTTGCACTTTCCCGATCTATATTTTTTTCCAGATGGTCAGAAATTATGTAAGAAAGACACAACGAGGACGAGGTTACTCAAAAGAAACTCTTACAGCTGCTATTCAGAGCGTAACATCAAACGTATTAAACGTAAGAGCAGCGGCGAAAAATTACTCTATATCATACGACAGTACCCTACAGTGTTATGTAACTGAACGTCGTGGAAAAAAAGTCAGACAGGGGGCCGATGTACAGCACTGAGAAAGGAAGATGAAGAATTGCTGGTACAATATCTGAAAACTTTGGAAAAAAGTGGTTTTGGACTATCACGGAAGGAACTTTTGGATGTCATTCAACAATATGTCAATAGAACCAAAATTCAAACTCCCTTTAAGAATGGACGCCCCGGAAAGGACTGGTTTATTCTATTTAGAAAGCGTAATCATCTAGCCATAAAAAGCCTCAGTCTGTGGAAAGCAAACTGATCCTTTTATAATAAGTGAATACTTCAATTTGCTGGAGAAAACACTTCAACGGTTAAATTTGGTTGACAAACCACACCTAGTATGAAATCTGGATGAAACTAGTACAGTACATCTGTCCGTTCTGTAGCTACGGGGTATCCGTGAGAGGAGAAACGATATTCTCTCGATGTTTTTCGTAAAAAATTAGACGACTCGTCCCATCAATAAAAATTCGACAAATTTGCAAGTAGCCAATAAAATGAGTGGGCGGAGCGATTTGCGGTGACGTACTCGTTAAGTCGACGTATAAAATATATTGCTGTTTATTTAAATGTTTTTTGTCCGCATTCCTTTCATAGACACAGATCCAGCAGACGTACTGTATGTGCACCGATCCTAGTAAGACCAAAGTTGTAGGGGAAAAGGGAAGACCATCGTCAAGAACTACTGGAGGTACCGGAAAAGCAAATTTTACCTATTTGGTAGCTGCTAATGCTAATGGTGGGAAAGCTTCACCTCTCGTAATTTTTAAAGGTTTAAATCTATGGTCCAATTGGATACCCGCAAGCAAAGATAATAAATGCCCCAACATGACATTTGCCGCCAGCAAAAATGCTTGGATAAATTGTGAAATCTTTATCAATTTTTTAAAGAATTATTTGGTTCCTGCATTGGGTGAAGAACGACCTGTATTGGTTATCTACGATGGACATGCTACACATGTTACAGAAGAAGTAATCGCATTCGCAAACACTCAAAAGATAGAAATTTTAAAATTGCCAGCCCACACAAGTCATTTGCTGCAGCCTTTGGACCTCTCCGTTTTCAAATCAGTTAAAGTAACTTGGGATGAAAATTTGTGTGTTTAGCAACGAAAAAATCCAGGACAGCGTATTTTCAAAGCAGAGTTTGCATTCCTATTTGGCAAAGTTTGGGCGAACGTGGATATGAATATTATCAAAAGTGGTTTTAGAAAAGGCAACAGGGAAATACTTAGCCCTGAAATGTATGATCCTGACATATGGTTAAGATATCAAAAATTTCAGCAACAAAACAACAGGTTGACAGAAGACGTCACTGTGAATTTGGAACCTATAACAGACCAAACCGAGCAACAACCGGAGCAAAATGATGAGTTTCAAAATATTTTATTAGAAACAATATGATCAAATAAATCGGTAAATCAAGTCCAGCAGACATGGAAAAATTTCATCAGGTGCTGAAGTTTTAACATCTACGGTGGCACACGCAATTCTTGACAGCAAGAGCACAAAAGAAAAGAAACACACCAAGTAAAACGATAGTGGTTCAAGTACTAGTGGTACTGCATCGAAGAGAATATTTAAACGCCAGGCAAAAAGGAACCCAAGTTCTTCTTCTGATTCTTCAGTTTATGAAGAACCAACTTATATCGACACCGACGGCGACGATGACATGGATTTGGAATCAAATGCCTCCAGAGATAGCCTCTTAGGACCCTATCAAAGGAACGGCAAAAACTACCTTGGAGAAACTTGACTCGAACATAACTATCCTGAATCTGAAGGTGATTCCGAAGAGGTGCCATTGAGCAAATTGAAGAAACTAAATAAGAAAGAAGAAAAACAAGAAGAAATTGCTGTAGGCACATACGTAAAAGTTATATTAAAATCCGCGAAGAGTGAGAAGATATTTATCGGTCTTGTGACCGAAATAATCGAACCCTTTAGAATTTATAACTGTTCTTTTTTAAAAGTGGCTATTGGACAAAAGTATCACAAAATACCTTTGTTTTCTCAGAAGTAGATGACAAGTCAATGGTGTATAAGGACGAGATATTAGAATGTCTAAAAGGACCGTTAATTAGACGTGGACATTATACTTTTTCCCCTTCTTACGTTCTTCCCTGAATTGTTTAGTACTTACCTATACTTACCTTACTTAAGTTAATCCGTTGCCTATTTGTTGGAAAAATGTATCTCTTCATTTTGTAAAGCATCCATACAACGTTAAGAAATATATTTTTTTTCAGTGGTACTGTTTTGCAATCAAACTTTTTCAAAAAATATTATTTCTCCAGTTTTTTATTTCCATGTGAGAATCTAATGGCCTTTCTCGGCTTGATTTTAACAAGGTTTTACGTATAATTTGAAATCTGATTGCACTTCCCCGCTCTCGTCGGGAAAAAGCAATCACCTACATTAAACTACATACATATTTTTTTTTCCAAAACTTGTAAGAGTTTCAATGTTTTGACAATTATACCTAACCTAGAAATCTCCAATGAACTAAACAAAAATTCAAAGTAAAATTTTTATATTTGACAACATTATGCACCTTAAAAAAACGGTATTCGACTTCCTGGTTGCATTTACCCTACCTTACCTTAACTATAGAAATGGCAAAAACATACTTTCTTCTTGTCTGTCAACTAGTGTACTAGATGTATTAACCAAATGTACTAATATGACTACAGAATTTTGAATAATAACGCAACATTATTATAAGTTAAATTTACATAATTACCTTATCGCATTTGTTCTAGCAGCAGCTAAAGTATCAAGAGGGTCTTTAAGCAAAAATATTCTGACACCAAGCATATAATAATCGAAATATTCTACCCAGTCTAATTTTTTTAAGTCACAAAAGAATATTTTTTGGTCTCTGTCTGACATATGCTTTACTAGGCTTTGTACTCTATTAGATTCCATTTTCCACTCTCGGGTAATAAAATAAGACATAACCTGGCAGAATTTGTTGATTTTTTTGTAAGTTGCAACCATTCTGGAAATAAAAAACAAGACTTAATAAATTAAACAAAACTCTATTCGTTTAGGATTTAAAATACAAAATGTTGCTTGTTGTTATACAAAATTTTAGTAAGTTAACAACATATTGCTGCAACATATTGAGATATTCTTTATTTCGAATATTAGTTGTAAGTGTATTTACCTTGGTTTTCTTCCCATACAGAATAAGACTAAGTCAGTCAAATATCCTGGAATCGTATGCAGGATAAAAGTTACAAACACATATACTGGATAGGACTTATATAGTCCAAAGCTGTAATACCATATGAGTTTAATAGATGGATAAATATGACCCTGCTTTTTATTTATGGCCATAAACCTATTCCATGTTATAGGATTGACACTATAGGATTCATAATTATACACTGGAATTTCATAGGGTATACCCTCTTTAATGGCTAAAAAAATAATGATCTAAAATATTTACTATTTTATATTATTTACTTATATATTTTTGTTATTATAAATAAATAAAAATATGTATTATAAAAAAAATAAATAAAAATATGTATTATAAAAGAAATACCAACAATTTTTATTTTCATGATTTTTTGAATTTGATATTGAACAAAAGCTTCACACATCAGTTAACATTAATGATGAAAAAAAAAATTAAAATATTCAGTAAAACACTTTCTTCAAAATATCGAGAGATCCTTTCCTAACAAACACAGGAGTTAGGCAGGGATGTGTCTTAGCGCCTCTTTTATTCAACATATTCATGGCAGCGCTCTCCATTATAGTGGACAGCAAACTGCAGGAGAAAGGATTGGGCTTAGATACAGATATGACGGCGGTCTGTTCAAAATAAAAAGACTTAGGGCAAAAACACGTACAAAATTCATCACAGAATTTCAATACGCTGACAACTGTACAATACACTGTGTAAACACGTTACAACAATTACAAGTAATGTTGAATACATATATCTGGGCATACGAGGCTTTGGGCCTTAAGCTAAACATCGACAAAACCAAAATCATGTGCACTCCCCCGGAAAATCACAACAATGCTATAATAATCGGAGAAGAACTATTGGAATATGTGGCGCAATTCAATTACCTTGGCAATTTGATTTCGGAAAAGGCCAATATTGACTCTGAAATTCAGCACAGGATTAGCAGCGCCTTAAGAGCATTCTGGAAATTAAAAGACAGGGTATTCTACAATTATGACTTGAGTACAGAAACGAAACTTGCAGTGTACCGAGAAATTATAATCCCCACCATGTTACATGGTATATGGGAGCGAAATCTGGGTGCCGATGCCGTACCGCCGAAACATGAACGCGTTAAACAAGTTGCAACAGAGACATTTTAGACAACTCTTAAGAATAAAATGGTTCCATCATATCTTAAATGTATCAGTTCTTGAAAAAACTAACTGCGAGAGTATTGAAGCCATGATTACAAAATCCCGCTTAAGATGGGCTGGTCACGTATGCAGAATGCAAGAAAACCGCATACCAAAATCTTTGCTTTACGGTAAGACGGTAAGAGGAAGCCGGGTGGACAACTGAAAAGGGACAAGGATATTTTCCACGAAAACTTAAATGAGATTAACATGCAGAATGAGTGGGAAAAAGCAGCTCACAATAGAACTCAATGGAGAAGAATTGTAAACTCAGTTAACAGCGACAACCAAAAAGTTAAGAGGCAAAAAAGCAATGAGATTTTTGAATGTCGGGAGTGCGGTATAGGCAGATAACATCACGTATCGGGCTTTTCAGTCACAGAAAAGCTCATGAAAGAAAACGCCTTGCGTGACCATCTTCTGATGCGTGTCGAATACTCGTCAGCGAGTAATGGCAATAATGGTATATGTATATATTCTTCAAAATATTGAAACATTCAGTAATCTTTTTTATACCACAGAGACTGTTAAAAATAAACATTTTTAAAACTAATTAAAATTACTACAAGCATCACATTATTAGAGTTGATTGATGATATAAAACAACTAAATTATTAAAAGTTGAATGACCACGATAAAAAAAGCAATTAATAAATTAATCAGTCAATATTTTTTGATAGTAAGTAATAAGTTTTTATAGTAATATTATACAAAAATAGCTTTTTACCTTTCTTATGAATCGACGACACTTCCCAAGCAGCTGCGATTAATATATTGACACACATGTCAACAGGAACGAGATTTGCTCTGGAATTTGCATCGCAATGCAATGTTCTAAGAAGTCCCACAGCTGTACCGGTACATATTCCAGATGGTCCGTACATGTTATTTATCCATCCTGGAAATGGCTCCTTATAGGTAGACACGACTAAACAGAATAATGAATTAAATCAGTCGTCTGTAACAACTTTATATTTTTATATGATCTAAATTATTTGAAAAATTGTATAAAATTTTTTATTTTCGCGCATTTTTATTTTTTTATTTTGTAGAATGTAGAAGAGGTAGTAGTAAGAGGGGAGGTTAATCACTGCGACCTTAAAGATCTATTGTGCCCCCCTTCCTTGAGTCATCACACAGTCTATACAGTCATCACACAGTCTATACATCATACCTCTGTTGTAGAGGGGACAGAGTATTTCCCATCCTCCTCTGACAACAGTTCTTCCTCCGAGGGTACACACCCTTCCACGGTTGGAGTTTGGCCCTCCGTGCCGCCCTTCAAAGTCGAGGAGCTTGCCTCCGGCTGAGGAACCCGTGAGGTGGAGGCTAGAGGATCTGTCTCCATTTTCTCCACCTCTTTAACTTGGTCTCTCCTTAGACCTGATATCGGTGTTGTCCCGTATCTATAATAGAGGATATGTCCCTCTTTCTCTATTGCCCCCTTGGATTTGAGGTAAATTCTTATTGTGAGGACCTGACCATGACCCTCCTTCCTCGAGTTGATGACTCGCCAACTCGATGTCTTTACATTGAAGTTCTGCCCTGGATAAGGCTCAGCAGATAGGTGGTGTCTGTCCCCTTGCTCCTCGGCAGAAAGACGGTGATGGCCGCCCCTTTAGAGATGTTTTCTCCCTTCACTGCAACCAGTTTCAGCCCTTGCCAATTTTTAAGCTTAGGTGCGATTTCCACCAACCAATTCGCCGATTCTTGAGATACATAATTTATGAGGATCATGACCACCCGAAAGTGTATCCCCGAAAAACGCAGCTGACCCACATTTTGTAGATCGTCGTGTTGCGATCCGATTGCCACTTCTTCGTCCAGTAGCCTCTTCTAGAGACGTTTGCTGGTCGGTGGTCAGAGCAACCTCTGGGAAATCCTTTGGCAGCACCGCCATTTTTAATTGTCCAGCAATAGCGGCAAAGATGGTGATACGTCTCTGCTTGCCTCCCGGTGTTGGATGGCTTTCCATCCTGGCTTTTTCCTCTCCCTGCCGGAGAAGAGGTGAGAGGTTCTCGCTCGCTCTCTTGCCCTTTAATGGAGATGAGTCAGGTTGTTTCTTGGTTTCTCTACTCTCCCCTTTTCGGAGGAGTGTTTTCGCTTTTGCTTCCTCTGGAGCAAGTCCTTCGTTGAGCAGTCGGAAGTATCTCCGTGCTTCTGCTCCGCTAAGACCTACTCTCAGAGGATCGTCTAGCCCGCCTGATTGACCCAGGCCGGGTAGACGAAACGGTAGATTATTTTGTACTTTATGGAGATTGCATTTTGTAGAGGAAAGTACCCAAATATGGAATAGTATCCCTAATATAGAATAATGCTATTTCTTAGAAACGAATACGCGAATGGACATACAAAGAAATATAAAGCTGTTAAGATAATATGATTCTCGCATGCTATGCTTAGCGGACAATATCACATAGTATTGCTAATTTTCATGCATCTCAAAGTTTATTTACCTATGGACGGTCTAAAGATGGCAACAGGCAGATTTTCTTCCTCTCTTCTAACCAAATCTTCTGCCACTTGTTTAGTAAAAGTGTATGTATTTGGATATGACTCTATAAGTCTGAAAATTCAGAAATCTTATCAGAATATCTTAGCAAATAATGTTGCCGTTAAACTACTTCACGGTAGTTCTTGAAAATAATAAAGCTTCTTTCATACCATGGATTTAACAATGCAAAAATGAAAAAGAAAAAACTAATGGTCTGTAAACAAAATTTTCTACTTCCAAAAGACTTCCACATCTTTGAATTTTTGGACACCATATAAGATAAGTCTTAGTAAAATAGTAATTTATTTCATATACAGACATTATAAGTTTTTGGCCTTATCTCATTAGATTACAGTTGGGTGTTGGAACCTTTGGTGTTACACAGCTAAATAAAACACTAAATCACCACAATACATCAAAATACTTTTACTTTTACACTGGACGCGCGTTTCGCTAACCATGTTAGCATTATCAGCAGATGATTAAAACTGAGTTTGAGTTTTATTTCTTGTACTTTTAGCGCGTCCAGTGTAAAAGTAAAATTGTTTTGGTGTATTGTTGTGATTTAGTGTTTTATTTTGCTTTTTTTTGTTGTTATCTCATTACAGCAGGTAGTTTATTGTTGCTTACGTGAATTTATTATAAAAAGCTCTAGTAAACAGGCTGGTTTTTGCTGGATTCTATGCATAGTATTTTACAAGAAATAGCACAATAAAGTACCGTATGATCGAATAAAAACGGCGTCAGCAATGGCTATAAAATGAAGATCACTGTCATTTTATATGTAAATTTATATGGGAAATGTCATCGATCGTCATTTCCCAGCCAACTGGAAGCCATTTTTTTCGATCATACGGTACTAATTTACCACAATTCACCAAAACACTTTACTTTTGTAGTGGACGAGCGTTTTGAAACCCTGTTGCGTCATCAGCAGATGTTAAAATCTATCAGCACTAGTTTAAATTTTAAATCCAGTTTTAATGGTTAGCGAAACGTGCAAAAGTTAAAGTTTGCATTGTTTTATTTTGCTGCTGTAATACCAAAGGTTGTAGTAAAAAAAATAAAACCGCCAAAAGAAAAAAAAAGATAACTATTTTTTTAGATATTTGCTTAAGTGGCAAAATACCCATTCTTTTTGTAAGGAATAAACCCCGTACAAAGATATAGAAAATATTTACTTGGGTGTGATTTCTGCTAGGATTTTTTCAGGTACACATTCGATCATACGAATGAGTTTGTGACCGTCAAATGCGGGTGGATAGACTTTTTCCTCTATAATTGTCTGCGGACAATTGGAATACATGGTAGATGTATGCATACAACATACTAAATTTGGCATCTCTCGACTCATATTAAGCAAGTCCCTTACGGCTCGAGTATTCATGACTACAGTGGTTTTGAGTTTCTCATCGAAATGAACTATTGCAGCAACGTGGAATATAATGCTAACCTGTAAAAAAAGTACGTATTTTTTTTTTATATTTAATTTGAACTAATTCATTTTTTAACTTGAATTTTACCTAAGGCACCGTCTACACATAATGTTTTATCTGTCAGTTTCTTGTTTTTCGTTTTTGACATTTTAGTTTTGTATTATGAGTTTTTGGTTTAAATTAATTATTATGTTGATCTTGAAGTCAAACATTTTTCTTTTTAGAACCTCTTTCAGTGCCAATTGGTACAAGATAGCTTCATAGCCGTAAAAAACTCATCGCAACTTTATTAGAACATTTTTATGCCCCTTTTGTGAAAAAAGTTAAAAAAAAAGGAAAAAATTGGTCAAGTGCGAGTCGGAATCGCGCCATTCATTATCTATACAACATTAGACACTATATTATTATAAACTTTTTTTTTCCGATTTAGCTGAAATTTTGAATGCGCGTATAAGTAATTTAAAAAAAAAATGAAGAAACACATTACTAAAAATTGTATTAATCAATAATAAATATATAAAAAGTCAAAATAAATATGTAAAAATATGTAAAAATTAAAAAAAAAACTATTAAAAAAAGTCGCTTTGACTAGGATTCGAACCTGCCTTACTACGGCTCCAACGTCATAGCAGCGTAAAGTCCTAATGCTTTAACCACGCGGCCACCTAGGACTTGAAAGATTCTATGTAAAATTCTTACTTAAAAGATAATGTTTAGTGAAAGTACTTTTTTATTAGGGTTCCGTACCCAAAGGGTAAAAACGGGAACCCTATTAAGACTTCGCTGTCCGTCCGTCCGTCCGTCTGTCACATATTAACCGTTATAGCTAAACAGTTGAAATTTTCACCACCAACATAGATACATTTACGTCCCTTAAATGCTGTTAAGAAGGTGAGTTTTGTTGATGTAAATAATAACTGTTTATATATTTATAATTATTTTATTTTTGTTTCTCCACAAATAAATTATTAAAAGAAAATATGGAAAAGTGGGCAACGCTGTGCCGGTGGATCACCCAAATAAACGTTTATTTGGTATGATCTATATAACATCACTGAAAAAACTAATGCTTTAATGGCAAATGATTCCGCGCATTTGCCGTTTTCGCTTTTTTGCCAAGGGAGACTCCTTAAATTCAATAGCACTGCTTTTGTGCCAAACAAAACCACTGCAATTAAATCGGTCATTCGAGAAACCCCGTAAGTCCAAAAAATACAATTTTTGGTTTTCATTTGAGAAACACCGTAACTCTCGGACTTATGGGGTTTCTCAAAGGAATAGCGTACGCTCATATTTATTTGGATCATTAGTGCTATGACATCAAGAAGGGTATTGGGGTAAATTCACCATGCATTTGCCTCGTTATGCCATTCAGGCAAATTAATTATTTTCACGTCAAATTTAAGAGTTTTAAATTAAAATCCATGCTTTTTTCGCAAATCGGATTTTAGCAGAAAATTATTGCATTTGGGACAAATTTTGCGTGGATTCATCTTACTCCTTTTATTGGAATTATATGCTTTTATCTCCAATGTCAAACTTTTCAGCTGAAAGCCATGCTTTTGGTAGCAAGTCGGCGCTCTTGGCATAAGTAGCCATTGTTGCCTATATTTGCATCGTGACGCGATCAACCTTTTACGTGCGTGTTAGTATTAGTATTAGTAGGTATCATCGGTCCCTTTGAACAACCAGCAAGTGGAGCGTGTTTTGTCGACGAATATGAGCAGCGTGGAAGAATTTTTGGCCAAGTGGCGCCTAGAACATTTGCTATCAACATTTCAAGGAACGTAGAAACAATAAGGCTTTGTTTGATTTTGTTTATGCATGATTTCCTAAGAGGATTTATATAAAAACAAATAAACAATGGGTGGAATGAAGAAAGATAACGTGGCAAAAGATTTTGCTTAAATTTCTGGAAATAACTTATACACAGTTTATAAACAACAAACAAAGAGAGTACAAAGAAGCATTTACTATTTACTTTGCTTTTTTTTTCATATTTTACCCATTGTTTGGTTGTACTTTTGACTATTCAATCATGGCATGAATGTTAAAAAATATGACGCATTATAAAGCCGCGACCTACGATTGGGTTATAGATGATTTTTACATAAATTCACCTTGGTAGCACAGTATAATAATACTATTGTTGTGGACCCGTGTGGACTCGACCTAACCTAACTTTATGTCCCGCCCTCAGATGACCTTCACATCGCATTAAAGAATAGATACCGTAATGATTCATTCGAGAAAAAACGTGTTCGAGAAAAATCGAGTTCCACTGGAATGGAGTAGTACATACGAGAACAATCGAAGCCTTCTTTATGCACCTAACGATCTATGGACTATTCTAGAAATCTTTAGCTGTAGGTATAAAAGCCGGCGGCTGTAGCCTAAAGAGGGCAGTTATAAATAAACGAGTACAGTTGACGCGCTAAAATTCAAAATAAATTCTTAGTTATAAATCGTTTGTAAATAGTTCTTTAAGTCTTTATCCCATATATTCACATACTATCGCCGTTATGTACAGGGCTTCGCCACCATCGCTAAACCATTAACCAGACTTAGAATTTTTTTTTTAGAATTTAGAATGAGTGGGAGGGGGGTTAATCACTTCGACCTTACAGATCCATTGTGTCCCCCTTTCTTGAATCATAACTCATCATACAGTCCCAGGGCTTTGACAAAAGCCAGTATCTGGGACGGTTTTATAGAGGGTAGTTCTCCATCTCCAATATTAGTTCTCCATCTCCAATATATTAACCAGACTTACAGAAGGCGAGAGGCGTTTCTCTTGGGACTCAGATTCTGACGAGGCATTCCGAACATTGAAGAAGGCCCTGACTAGTGCGCCCATACTTAGCTACCCCCTTGGCAACGGAAACTTTATATTGGATACCGACGCTGGCAATGTTGGATTAGGCGCTGTTCTGTCTCAAATCCAGGATGGTCAAGAAAAAGTAATTGGTTATTTTAGTAAGACCTTGTCAAAACTGGAAAGGAACTACTGCGTGACCAGACGAGAATTACTAGCCGTAGTTAAAGCAGTGGAACACTTCTACAAGTATCTCTATGGAAGAAAGTTCTTGTTAAGAACAGACCATGCTGCTTTGAAATGGCTGTTGCAGTTTAAGAATCCTGAAGGGCAGGTAGCTAGATGGATCGAACGATTACAAGAATTTGACTTCGACACAGAACATCGAGCTGGGGCAATCCATCGAAATGCCGGCGCACTTTCCAGAAGACCTTGCGATAAGGACTGTAAGCATTGTTCCCGAGCAGAAGAGAAAGAAGCGAAACTCGTAAGAACAACTGTGGTTAATGATACTTGGCAACCCGAAGATCTTGCAAATGACCAAACCAGTGACCCAGAATTAGGTTTAGTAATTAACTAGAAAAATGCAGACCTAAGACCAACGTGGGAAGAAGTTTGCAGATATTCGCCGAACGTAAAGTCGTACTGGGCTCAGTGGAATTCCTTGGTAATAGATAACGGACTACTTCGCCGTGTGATCGAGAGACCGGAGGGACAAGAAGAGAGAAGGCAGATCGTCATTCCAAAGAAGAGGATCCCGGAAGTCTTGGAGGAAGTTCACAATGGAACCAGCGGTGGACATCTCGGTGTTACCAAGACACTTGCAAGCTGCGGGAACGGTTCTATTGGGTGAACTGCAAAGGAGATGTGAGGAAATGGTGCAAGAAATGTGACGTTTGCGCCGCCATCAATGGACCACAAAAGCGCGGTAAAGCCCCAATGCGCCAGTACAATGTAGGCAGTCCCTTCGAACGAATAGCGATCGACGTGGTTGGTCCTTTCCCAGAGTCGAACGATGTCAACAAATATATTGTGGTAGTAATGGATTACTCCGCAAATGGGTCGAGGCCTACGCGTTGCCAAATCAAGAAGCGTCCACCATTGATGCCCTTGTTAAAGAATGGATCTGCAGGTTTGGTGTTCCCATGGAGCTTCATTCCGATCAGGGAAGAAACTTCGAGTCCAATCTGCTCCAAGGCGTCTCTGTGAAGTCCTTAACATCAGCAAGACCAGGGCGACTGCTCTACATCCACAATCCGATGGGATGGTTGAACGCATGAACAGAACTATCAACCGTTATCTGGCCAAAGTAGTCTCTGACCACCAAAGAGACTGGGACAAATTCCTTCACCGTTCATCCACCCAAGAATCTACAGGGCAAACTTCAGCCAGCATCGTTATGGGACGGGAAGTGCGCCTACTCTGTGATCTGAAATTTGGTTGCCGACCGGGAGAAGAAGTCGCCGGAGAAGATTATGTACACACACTACGTCAAAGGATGGACGACATCCATCAGCGAGTCCGCCTAAATATTCAAAGTGCTAGTGACCGAATGAAGGAACACTACGACATTCAAGTTGAGCATGGAGGATACCAACCAGGGAAGTTGGTGTGGCTATACAACCCGCAGAGACGTTGTGGGTTATCTCCGAAGCTACAATCCTCGTGGGAAGGGCCATACGAAGTCATGGATAGGATTAATGACGTCGTATACCGTATCAGAAAATTGCCAAAAGGAAAGCCGAGGGTAGTCCATTTCAACTGTTTGAGCAAGACGAAATAGAGGATCGTGCTTGGACCGTGAGAACCTGCAGCTTTGATCCCCCTGATTCGGAGATGTCCTTTGACGATTTCATGGCCCGATACAACAGCAGTCAGAAGGCTCGCTATGGTGTAACCAAAGAAGAACAACGAGACCTCTTTTCCGTGCCTCCTGATTATTCGCTCGCTCACTGTGTGGCCCGAGATTTGCGGATGTCCAGAGGAATCGCTGCGACGTTCAATGAGATGTTTGGGCGTGTCGGAGAACTACGCCGACAGGATCCAGAGGTTGGAAGCGTCTTGAGGCTAACCGACAATGAACATGGTCAAGCAAGGCACATTTTCTACCTAGTCACCAAGGAATGGTCCCCAAGTAAGCCGACTTATCTCAATCTATGGAACACCCTGATTGAACTGAGAGAAGCCTTGCTAAACAACAACATTACACGATTGGCCATTCCGAAGCTGGCGTGTGGACTCGATGGTTTGAGTTGGCGTACAATCCGAAACATGATTGAAGTCTTGTTCAGATTTACGGGAATCGAGATCCTCGTTTGCTGCTACAACTCAAAGCTGAGATCGGGAGAGAAAACTGTAGACTGCTATTTCTACCAGACTTTTCAATGCACCAGGGGCCAGCTTTGCAAATACCTTCATTCACCGTGTACATCTCGGGACGAGCATAACTTTATGTTCCGCCCTCAGATGACCTTCACATCGCATTAAAGAATAGATACCGTAATGATTCATTCGGACGTTCGAGAAAAATCGAGTTCCACTGGAATGGAGTAGTACATACGAGAACAATCAAAACCTTCTCTATGCATCTAACGATTTATGGACTATTCTAGGAATCTTTAGCTGTAGGTATAAAAGCCGGCGGCTGTAGCCTAAAGAGGGCAGTTATAAATAGACGAGTACAGTTGACGCGCTAAAATTCAAAATAAATTCTTAGTTATAAATCGTTTGTAAATAGTTCTTTAAGTTTTTATCGTTATTGTTTTTTTTTTGTTAATTAGTGTTAAATAAATAGTGTTTAAATAAATTGTGACTTTCTATCCACACGGAACCGACGAAAAACGTAACACTATTATAGGACTGTGTTGGTTATAGTTTATTTATTTAGAAAAATAAATAAAAGTATCTTGGAAAATTCCTGATTTCATCAGAAAGAACTACAGAAAATAAGTTGGTGATGGACGTCCATCTTTTTTCATCTGAAATCCTTCGTGTTCTTAGGTTAAATGCGCGAGCATTTGTAGCAAATGCTAAATATTTCATTACAATTGAACAAAATTTTTTTATCAGCTCTTGTTCATATTTTGTATTGTGAATGACTTATGTAAAATATGCTTTGTTTTCTTGCAGAGCAAAATATCGACGGAATCGATGTAATAAAGTGCCTTTCACAAGAAGAAGTGAATAATTCTAGTAAATAATGTTCTGGGGGACAAAATCAAATTAATCAAAGCTATTGAAAGTTTGAAAGTAATAAATGAAGTATCCATCAGCCATCATCAACTTGATGAAAACAGTGATGTAAATGATATATATTAGTTTTGTTTATTTCAAATGTGAAACTTAAAATGTTCTTTTATTTTTAGTATAAGTTATCTTTAAAAAAAGTTTTATTTTTGTTAAGCAAAGATACATCCAAATAAACAATAAAAATATTTTCTAAATTTTGTATTATTTTTAAATTTACCCTAACCCGAACCATACAAAGTCAATTTTTAATTCAAATATATTTGCTGCAAATAATTGATATTGTTGTCTACTTAATTAGGTATAAATAACGCCACATACACTCAAATAACACTTATTTGCAAATATATTTGAAAGAAAAATTGACCCTGTATGATTCGGGTTAAGGTGAATTTTTGTAACAAATTCCCAGTGCTTTAGTTACAAAAACCACAGTGCCTTTGTTACAAATTCGTAATGATTTTGTCGCAAATTTCCACTATGTTGTTACAAATTCGAAGTGCTTTTGTCATAAATTCGCAGTGTTTCATAACAAATTCGAAGTGCTTCTATCGCAAATTTGCAGTACTTCATAACAAAGTTGAAGTGCTTCTGCCGTAAATTCGCGTTTTCATAATGGTCTTTGAAGACTTTGGTATGAAGTCATGCAAATCGCAATACTTTCAAGATAAGGCTGTAGTCATGGCAACCAGCGATTCTAAAGCGTTTATCCCAAATGCATCTTGAAATTACTCCAATTGAACCATGCATTTGGCATATATCAAGAGCATGGCGAAATTGGTTCAAATGCGTTCGCCCTTGGGCCGATAGATTTGTTTTTTCAGTGATGTCTTAAAAGGTATAAACTTTTCTAAAAAAAACATTTTTCAAAAATCAGAGTATAATACTATAAAGTATACTGTGCTGGTAACTGTTACTTTTGGGTCGGCATTTACATGTGTGGAGGTAAATCGCATAGGGATCATTATTAAGTCGGAGTGAGAGAAATGCGACGGTGTGCTGTTGCGGCGTTGTCGGTACGCCTTTCCCTATTAAGTAAAGTAAAATCACGATCGTAAACCGCTTATTTTTAAAAGACTTTTTTTAAGAGATAACTAGATAAAATCATTAGACATGTTTCTGAGCATCTGAAATGGAATTATAAGGATATCGTTACGGTGTCATTTTTTTATAACGAGGAAACGTCAAAATTCTTGAAAAAACTACAATCTATTATGATACTAATAGATTTCGAGATATCGATTTTTCAATTCAGAGTTCTAATAGCGCGACCACTATCGAACACCCACTCAATTCCACATATTTTTACCAAAAATGCAAGTGTTTCTAGCTTACACTTAAAAAATTCAAGCTATAAGGAAAATTACAACGACTCGTTAATAAATAAACAAATTAAGTATCACGAGACGTAATTAAATCGTGAAGCTGAATGCATGACGTACACCCTTCCTAGAACTTTAAGTACTGACAGAGGTATTGATTGATTGATTAGGTCGACCGGTCAACTGCGACAAATCTGCTATATCCCCTTCCACGTCTCTTAGCTATGTGCACAGTTTCTCGGTTTTCATACGTTTGGCAAAGTGTTTAATAATAATTAATTAATAATTAATGATTAATAATTAATTAATAATTAAATCAAAGCAAATCCATAGATACATTACTATAATTAAATTTTAATGTATTAAAATGAAAATCACAAACCGAAATCCTAATATAGAGCTTCGGAAGCCTGGGTCACTCTGTAAGTGCATTACTAAATACGAACATGATTACCTCATTTATAAGAAGTCTTCGGTCTTGAATACTCAACCCTAACTCAGGTAGGTCCAAATCCCCATGAACTCCTACGATTTTTTCTCTAAATTTTGGACACTCCAGCTTCATTCTTTGGAAAATTATGTCGTCAAACATCTCGTCAATTCGTTCTTCCATCGATTTCCCTTTTTTACTACGCACCAGGAGGTAAATTTTAGTCACTGTTGGACAAGATCTAAGAAGTTTTTCGAGTAGAATTTTTCCTAGAAGCACATTATTAACATTATTAATATAGGTAAAATTACTACTAGTAAAATATTATTATTATTCTCTCCAAAAAAATCCTTTAGGGGTATTTCGCCACTTTGGAACGTCAACGGTTCCTTGTAGACGTATCTGTTCTAAAAAAGTAAAGTGTTCTCGAATAGTTAAATTTAAAAAAAATTAAATAGTTTTTTTCTTTATTCTTTGTATTTTTTTTTGCTTCCGACGATGGAAAGAGATAAACTTTCCGAAACGTTAAGCATTTTTTTCTTTGTTAGGCAAATTTGTATAACTGTAAACATAACTTCTGACAAGCAGTGTCCGTTTAGGTTTAACGCCAGAAGTGTTTACAAAAAATAACTATTTTATTTTTTAGACTTTCTTGCAGTGCAGTGGCGAAATACCCATAAAGGATTTTTTTGGGGTGATAAATCCGCCACATAGGTATAGACATTTTTTATTATTATTATTATTACTGCTACAACTCTACTGCTACTCTAGTATAGTTATCAATAAATTATATAATTCTTGCCGTGAACTGGCTATGAAAAAAGTCCACGCTGTGTTTGTCCATTTCGGGAAAATAAACCAACCTCTCACGACCGGTTTCTGGGCCCTTATCCTTCATCAGCTGAGCTCTGCTCTGGTCCATTTCGAAATATGACAAACACATCGCGGATAATTTCAATGGGTACTGTCGAAACCTATCGGTTAAGGCGCATTCTCATGAGTCAAATTTGGTTGAACAATTTTAGTTAGAGTAGTTAGTAACAACTTTAGTTGATCAACAAAAATTGAATAAAAACTATAGTGAGAACTACTGTTACAATGGACTTGATCAACTTTTTAGTTGTTCAACAAAAGTTTGATCCATTCAAACTTTTGTCGTTCAAGTCACAAATCGCTTTCAAGTTGAAATCAAGTTTTGGTAGTTTTTGGCAAGAAATATTATTGAAAATAAAAAAATAGTGTTAACAATGAGACAAAAACGACGTTTTTTACGATATTTGATTGCATCACATATTTTTTTTTAATTCGTCTTGTATTAAAACTGTAATCACCTGTACACATTCACGAACAATTTCGATCGACGCTATTTTTAAACTGAACCGGGACTATAAATTTCTGCTGCATATGTGAAGGTGAACTTTACTTGATCAAGTCTTCATTCAATTTTTGTTGGTCAACTAAAGTTGTTCAACTAAACTTGACTCGTGAGAACGCGCCTTTAGATATTAAATCGCCAGTACATTGTGGAGATCTGGTAGAGACACCTACAACTGTCTTATAACTAGACTTACCTACAAATCCAGTTGATCCTGTAATGAGAATTTTTGATCCATCATAGAATTTTTGAATTGGTGTAAGATCCCCCTCGCAGGAATGCATTTCATGTTTATCACTGTCATTTTTGATGAATGGATATTCCTCTAAGATTTTAGAGATTTTTTGATTTTCAAAAGTTGAGAACTCTACAAAAAATAACCAAAAATATATTTACTTACATTATTTTTATTTTGTAATTTTGTTTTTTTGCCTCTTTAACTAATTTTATTTTTGATATAGCTTAATACAGATAATATAGGGTCCTTTATAAGATGCTTTTAATAAGAGATGTATTTTAGACATTTGTAGCTTCTATAATAAAAAAAATATGATATTTGTTTAAGTGCAAATCTAAAGTACGTATTAGAAGGGTATTAGGATGTATTTCAGAAAAATATATTTTAACTTCTTTAGGAGGTTTAAGAAAGTACGAGTGTAAAAAATTAAGAGAGATTAAAATTAAATTTCAAAATATTTTTGTCAACATACATTTGATTCAAACATATTTTCAAATTTAAGTTGTATATTTTTACAACGTCTCATACGCCTCGGAGGTTCCAAGGAGGACGACAGTTTGTATTGAAATGAAATTTTGTGAGCATATTTAGGTTAATAGAGATTACTTTTTAAAAATATAGAGAGTTCCACAGGGTGTCCCCCAAAAAAGTTACATATCAAAGTTTTTTTTTTCGTTTTCTGTAATGGAACAAACACCCTATATATTAATTATTGATTTCCGGATTTTGGGAGAAAAATAATGGTGAGTTTTATAAGAGAAGTATATGACTAAAATGTAATGGTTTTTGACATATTTAACATTTTCTAGAAATAAAGAACAATTTTTGAACTATGGTAAATGTCCCAGTTATCGTCACATTAAGGGAATATCTCAATTCAGTTAGCTATAAAATCCAAATTATTTAGTATAAGTCTTACAAGAAAATTAAATATGACACTGAGGAATATTTTTATTTAAAGTTTAAATAAAACTTTAATAACTTGACCGATATTTTCGTTTATTTTAAAGAAAAACTAAAAAAACTACAATAATTGTTCTAAATATCGTCACCTCTCTACCTATATATCGACACCAACTTATCCCAATTTTCGTCACATCTTTATATGTATTATTATACACAAAAAACGTTGTTTTTTACAAAAGTTTATTTAGCAATTGCGACACATTGCAAAAAACAAGATATAAACAATTAAATAATTAAAAAAATAAGCATACAAAATAAAATTTGAATTAAGAATATCTCCGACATCATGCTCAAAAATAATGCAGATATAATAATTAGTGAATACAAAGTATTTAACATTTTTATAAAAAAAACAAACAAAAAAAACAGTAACATCATATTAGTAAATAAGTACATTTAAATTAGTAAATAAACTTTTAATTTGAGAAATTAGTTTTACTTTGGCATATCAGTTTAAGATATAATATCAGGTATATCAATTAGATATAATATCATAATCAGGTATATCATAAAAACCTCTTTTATTTTTTTTAGTTTTGGTAACAATATCCCTTTTAATATAGTCCAAAATATCTTCCGAACTCTAATATTTTCCATTTTTAAAATCACCGGTATTTTACAGGAAACCTATATTAATTGGCCTAAATTCCGTCGCAGACATCCAGTTCTCGTCATCCATTTTTAATTGATAATTTAAGGTAGAATTAATAATAATAGTGAGTGACGAAAATTTGGCACATCAAATAGAGCATCTTCATACTTACATTTATGGAAAGAAATATTTAAATTATAGAAAAATGAATTTTAAACTGAATCAAATAATTCTGTCTATAATGACCCAATCTTCGTCAATGGTGACGATAAAATACGGTACGCTCCGTTGTGACGTGTCCCGAAAACCGTCACCCATTTTTTTATTAATATTACAGAAAAAACATATTTTTTTATATGAATACATATAATAAAAAAAACCTTTTACACTAGTAATTAATTATATTTGGACCTTAGTTACTAAATTACATTATTGTGACCGGACTTAACGAAGTTGCCGCCCCAGGCTAAAAAAAATTGCCGCCCCTTAACATTTTTTTTTAATTAAAAAAATTACGGATATAAAAAACATTTATTTGAATACAGGACCAACAACAGAATAGACCAACAGAACAGATAAACACAGAACATAAAATAAATATTAAAATATTCATATAAAATGACAACAAACGAACAACAAAACTATAAGGTTTGCTTATATGCCTATAAAGGTTTCTTACGTACTTTTTTGTTCGCAAAATTATCAATTACTTCATCATCTTCATCAATTTCCTCATCGTGATTTAGACGTTCTGTTTCTATAGTGGACCGTAAATAAGTTTTAATACGTTTCAATGCAGAAAACGAGCGTTCAGCAGAAAAGTTAGTAATAAAAGTACATGAGAAGATTCTTAATGCTATGAAAGTATTTGGAAACAGGTCTTGAGTCTTGAGCGTTTTTTTCATAAATTATTTTAAGAAGCTCTCTATCTCTAGCAGATGGTTTTGCTGACTTAATGCATTTTACAAAGTCACGAAAATGTATTAATTCATTAGGCATTGACTCATCTAAATCATTTGGATAACAGGTTATTAAATGTCTGGACTTATCGGTAATGTCGTCAATACTTAAAGTAGATAAATCACTAAAGAAACCAAATTTGGTTGAAAAGTCATTGTAGGCATTTTTCCTGTAAGAAATTTCAACGATTAATTTATCAATAATAACATTAAATACATTTATCCTAAAATCGTCCCTAGCGTTAAATAGAGTTTCATTATCATTGGTTACATCACAATGTCATTTCCGTATCACTTTTCTCTTTTTATCTGCCGCATATTCTTTCTCACCGAACAATTCTATGGCCCTTCTTTCATATTCCTCAAATGATTTAGTATTATCTAGATTTCTAATTACAGAAAAATATTTTTCCAATGAGCTATATAAATCTGCAGCAAGTTGTAGATCAATATCCACCATTTGAAGCTTTTTATTGACCGCATCTAATCTATTTAAAACGTCTCTCCAAAATACCGCCATAAAACCCATTTCTAGGCTTTTATAGAATAGTTTAAGGAGACTATAGAAGCGTTTAATCGGGTTTTAGGCTTTTCGGTATCGTCTTCAGAAATTGACTCCAACGTGGATTTTATTTCATTGGAAGACAAAGATAGTGATTGGCAAGTTTCATTTCGTGCAGACCAACGTGTTTTTGGATGTATTTTTGTACCAATGTATTTATTAACTGGATGCATGGCACAATGTAGTAAAAAATAACCCAAGCGAATTATATATTTAAACAAAAATAATAGTTAAATAAATAAATATGTAATCGGTTAAGGCTATATTCCAAATATTTTATGAACAAATAAAAGTTAAAAAAAAGATAAATATTTTGGTATGCTCAAAATTTGCCGCCCCTAAAAATCTGCCGCCCCAGGCCCGGGCATAGTTGGCCTAGGCCTAAGTCCGGCGCTGATTGTGATAGAAAATCAAGAGGACTGTTGCTTTGCTTAGCTTATAAGGAATGTGTGGATTCTCATCAACGTCTAACTTCCAACTAAAATAGTCGTTATTCCACGTAAATGAAGTGGGCCATTTAAAAAAAGATGTATTGCAACGTTCCTAGATATATAAAACAACTATTATATTTAAAATTATTTATTGTGGAATTTTTTTTCTGAGATTCTTATTTTTTTAAAAAATATGGGAATATGACGAGAATTAGGACAGTGACGGTAATTGGGCTTTTACCATATATTATGTAAGAAAAATTGAAATGAAAATCACAAATCAAAAACCTAATACAGAGCTTCATTGGAAGCCTGGGTTACCCTGTAATAATTATAAATTTAAATTTTAAAATATAAAATAACTATAATAAAAAATAATTATAAAAACTTATTATTAACTATTAGAACATATTACTTACCAAACTGCTCCGCAATCATTTCAAAAAAAATTATATCTGCTAAATAAAAAAAAATATCCTAAAATTTTCAGTCAGTATCAGTCAATATATCACCTTGCAGTACTCCCAGACACACCCAAAGCAATATTATTACTTTCATATAGTTATTGTCTTTATAATATATATTAATAAGTGAATATGAGGTAATTAGATGTGAACAAAAAAAAGATTGTTTTTAAAAACAAGTTTTCGTGGATAAATATTTCACAACGAGTGCAGTTTGAACATTTTGCGTAACAGAATAATTAATCAGCATAAGAGACAATAGGTCGAAAAAAAACGGCGTCAGCGATGCCTCTGAAATAAAGATCGCTGTTATTTTATATGAAAAAATAAATGGGGAATGTTATCGATCGCGTCGTTTCCAAGCCAACTGGGGGCTTTTTTCCTTAATAAATTGGGGAAATAGGCAACCTAATGGACGAATTCGTGGCAAGGCTGATTTGATTTCCCCTTACGCCTCAAGTGCTGTATGGTGGAGACACCAATCGCTCTGCGGTCAACGCATAAAACACTTATTTTCTCTAATTCGGCTAGCGAAGGCATATCGAAGACGGTGTGGATCTGAAAGCGACAGTGTTGCTAAAATCTATATCTATATTTATATAAATCTGTAAGAGAGTCCTGATTCATTCATCACTGACTCATCAACGCCCAGACCAAACCCTTAACACTAGAAAGCTGAAATTTTGCACAGGGGTTCCTTTTATGATGTATACGTGAGATAAGAAAGGATTTTTTAAAATTCATCCCCTGGTACGGTAAAAAGGCGGCTGGAATATTACAATATATTTTATTTAAAAACGGTCAAGTTTCCGAAAAAACGCTTAAACACGTATATTTTATTTTATTTTTTTACATATTTTAAGATTTTTTAAAAACGTATACAGGGTGTTTCGAAAAATCTGGTCATTGATTAATCGCGATCCTGCTTAAAGCGCTTGACGTAAAAAGCTGATTTTTGGAAAACGGATTGACTTTAGGGTGTAGAGGTTAGATAAGAAGGGATTTTTCTAAACTCGAATTCTAAGGGGGTAAAACCACCCCTCAAATATTAGAATATTTTTTATTTAAAAACCGGTGAGTTTTTCGGAATGAGTTTTTCGGAAAAACTCTTAAACGCGTATACATTATTTTGTTGTTTTACATATTTTAAGATTTTTAAAAATTTATACAGGGTGTTTCATAAAATATGTCCATTGAGTAATCACGATTCTGCTTAAACTGCTTGACGTTTAAAGCTGATTTTTGGCAAACGGATTGACTGTGGGGTGTAGAGGTTCGATAAGGCGGGATTTCTCAAATCTCAAATTCCAAAAGGGTGAAAACGCCCTTCAAATATTACAATATTTGTTATTTAAAAAACGGTTAGTCTTTCGGGAAAACGCTTGGAGACGCATAGTTTATTTTGTTTTTTACATATTTTGAAATTTTTAAAAAAATCATACTTGGTTTCTTAACCAAGATTCTGCTTAAATTGCTTGATGTAAAAAGCTTATTTTTGGCAAACGGATTTTTCGAAAGTCAAATTCCAACGAGATGAAACTACCTCTTAAATATTACCAAGTTATACAGGGTGAGTCTTAAATAAGTGCAAATATTTTCAGGGGTTGTATATTTTGACCCCAGGAACATGTCTATGAGTTTTTTTTCGCAAAAAAAAGATGTTTAAAATCGTGCATTTTCTTTTAAATTTTTCGAAAACTTTTTAGAACTGCCTATTCACCGCAAATTTTCCCACGGTATAAATTCTTAATCTCTGATATTACCATAGTTACACCTTTACTCTATGGTTACGGCACTAAAATGGATGCAAATACAGAAAAAATCCGAAAAAAAATTCCAAAAAAAATCAATTTTTTAAATTTTCAAACTTAAATAACTCGGTTATTTTGGACTTATTTAAAAAATGGTAAAGAAAAAATATGTTTCTTTTGTCGAGATCTACCAGCCCTGAAAATATTTGCACTTATTTAAGACTCTCCCTGTATAATAATATCGCCATATTGTTTTTTCTCATGATGACATAAATGTGAGAAAATTTTATCCAATTTGTATGTTAATGGAAATTCTTGCTTTGCTTTATCATCACCATTACAATGATTAATTCGACGCGAACGAAGTCGCAGGTACACCCTAGTGTGTAATACGCCTGGTAATACGAGTATCTGTAATACGTTTGACGAAAATATCTTTGGATAAAAAATCAACGATTATGTATTGAAAATTTATTCATGTTGAACATAGAATAAACAAAAATAAAAATGCTTTTATAGGTACCTACTGAATATGTCGAGTATATGTATATAATATGTATGATCGAAAAAAATCGTTTAGTTGGCTTGGAAATTACGATTATTGACATTTACCATAATATTTTACATATCAAATAACAGCGATTTTCATTTCCAAGCCAACTCTGACGCCGCGCAGTTCTTTGTTTAATCATATAACCTATACAGTGTGTCAATTTTAAAACTTCCCACCCTTAATATCTTTCTTGCAGTTAAAAATATGAAAAATCAGAAAGACACGTCAATTTTATCTGTAAGAGGGACACTTTAAATTAATATTTATAGCCTTTTTCTTTTAACCCCCTAGAAAGAGGAGATGTCACCCTTACAATCTTAAATGGGAATGGTGGTCAAGTGGCACATCGTTTTAAAGGGCGTTTAATTATCTTTTCAGTGGTATCATACTTTGTTGTTTTTTGTCCAGATGTTTCCGAATAATCAGGTTTCAAACATGCAGAAATAACTAAACATGCCTGCATTGAGATTATGGTTTTCAGGCTAGTGTTTACACAAAAATTATTGCAATGGATCTCTTTATAGTACAAATGATAAGATCACATTACACCACTTACGCCCTATCTTATAAGTTGTTTAGAATGTTGTCAATTTTCCTGTTAACAATAATAAAGGGTGTTTTCAAACTCCTCCCTAACATTTCGGAAAACTTCACCGGGAATTGACCGGCATTCTGCTGTAATTCGCCTTTTAAGATCATCAATATCAGTAAGTTGTGTTCTATAAACAATGGATTTAAGATGTCCCCAAAGAAAGAAATCTAAGGGTGTTAAATACAGTGATCTTGGAAGCCATTCAATTGGTCCCCTTCTGCCATTCTATATACCCGGAAATCTCTCGTTTAACCACTGTCGGATCAGAAGAAAATAATGAGGTGGAGCCACCGTCCTGCTGGAATGTTAACAAATCCTCCTGTATACCTGATTAGAGGCTGCCACTCATTCGAATTTATGAAAAGAAACGCTAATGTTTATGATGTTTTCTGTTTATTAGTATTTCGACCCCACTAGAAAAATATAATGGCTACGTCCATGTTTCCACCTAATCTTATTGTACTACAAGAAGATCCATCATGATTTGTACTACAAGAAGATCCATTGCAATATTTTTTTGTGTAAACACTAGTCTGAAAACCATAATCTCAATGCAGGCATGTTTAATTATTTCTGCATGTTTGAAACGCGATTATTCGGAAACCTCTGGACAAAAAGCAACACAGTAGGATACCACTGAAAAGAGAATTAAACGTCCTTTAAAACGATGTGACACTTGACTACCATTCACATTTAAGATTGTAAGGGTGACATCTACCCCTCCTAGGGGGTTAAAAGAAAAACGCAAAAAATATTAATTTAAAATGTCCCCCTTACAAATAAAATTGACGTGTCTTTCCGATTTTTCATATTTTTAACTGCAAGAAAGATATTAAGGGTGGGAAGTTTTAAAATTGATACACTGTATATTTAATTATTTATTTTATTAATAAAATAACACTTTTGTGAAAATTTGGGCAAAAAATTTTCTTAGATCCAATTTAAAGATGCCATTACACGGCATGTGGAGCGCCGATCCACGCTCCAGGCGCGTGAAGCGCCGCGCCAAGACGCGCCTCACAGTGCGGCGGATGGTAATTCTAGCGGGACAAAACCTCAGAAGCGATGTTTGGGACTTAAAATTTAAGAACGTAGGAAATGGTTTAATATATGTGTAGCACCCATATGAGTTAAATTTATTTGTTTATTAACAACTTAATTTATCAATAATAAGATAATAAAACTATTATATTATTCGTACGTGACACACAAAAATCGTACTATAAACTATTGCTAAATAAATAAAATTATGATATAAGGTAAATACTTAAAAAAAATATTTTAGCAGTTATTTTTTAATTATTTTGTGATCTTGTGAAACCCTGTTTTATTTTAAAAAATTCTCTTTTATTTAAAAATAAATAAAATAGTTATTTTAATTTTAATTTTAACAGTCTGTAATTGTAAATTCATATATAATAAGTATCTAAGTCAATTTTTAAAACTTTTATTAAAACTAGTAATAATCATTTAGTTTTTATTAGTAATTATAAGAAATTAAAAAAGGCTTTTGCATATAGTCATGCTTTATTTAACTAGAACATCATTTGGATGTTTTTGTCTTAAAAAAAAAATTGCCGAACTGACTATTGGTGTCATTCATTGATTTTTTAACCTCAGTGTCTTTCGATGGAGTTTCAGTTAAGGTTTCAACGATTACAACAGTATCAATACTCCCACTAGCTTAGCTCATAACACTTGCAAAAGCTAATTATTATTTTCAATGCTCTTCAATTAATCCTTTAATGAGTCTTTGTTTCGTTATTATACTAGCCAATTGAAATAAAACTTTTGGGCGTCCACCTGTTAAGCTTGAACTCTAAAAAAACAAGGGAAAATGATCGTAGATGGGTCTTAGCACCTTTTTTTTCGTTACTAAGAGAGTTGGGATCTAAAAATTGCATCGCGATATCCTACAAAACGGTCAAGAGATGATGTTAGTTTTAAAACGCCTTTTTACATACCTTTGACAATTTCCAACATAATTTGGTTTTGGAATAGAATGTATGCACTTGTAAATATTTTGTTTTCGTATGACCTCTACCTGGCTGAGCAGAAAACGATCAAATTTGGTTGATAAAAATGTATACGACCAAAAAATAACTCTTGCATTTTTATATCAGTTGGAATTAACACTATTTATTCCTATCAGTACACATTTTTTGGCTTATTTTTACAAACAAAACGGTTTTGTCCCGCTAGACTTATCATCTACCGTACTGTGCGCCGATGGGACGACCGACCGGCAGGCAGATACAAAAAATGCATTATATAACTTTTTAACATAGATTATCGGTTTAAATTGGGTTTAAATTAATACAATCGAATAATTTATTCCCCAACTTTATTTTCAGTGCAGTTTATT